CAGTCGCTGGCTATGAAGACATCGGCGGTCTCAACCGAGCCTGTTCAACTGTCGGCAGCATTCCTGGAGATAGCGTCATCAACGGCGATCGATACCTCAACCTTCAGTACAAGTACTACCACGCCCACAAGTGGCGCAATATCGGCATCCTCATCGCTATGACCATCTTCAACCACGTCGTCTACATCGTCGCCACCGAGTACATCTCCGCCAAGAAATCAAAGGGTGAAGTCCTCGTCTTCCGTCACGGCCACCTCCCCGCCTCCACCAAGAACAAATCCGATCCCGAGGCCGCTGTCTCTGGCCCTGTTCCCACCGCTGAGAAGTTCAACAACGAGGTTGCCAATATTCAAGGATCCACTAGCGTCTTCCACTGGAACAACGTGTGCTACGACATCAAGATCAAGAACGAACCACGACGAATTCTCGACAATGTTGACGGATGGGTCAAGCCAGGAACGTTAACTGCTCTGATGGGTGTATCCGGTGCCGGAAAGACTACTCTTCTCGACTGCCTCGCCGATCGTATCTCAATGGGCGTCATCACAGGTGAAATGCTTGTTGACGGCAAGATCCGCGATTCATCGTTCCAGCGAAAGACCGGCTACGTGCAGCAGCAAGATCTTCATCTCGAGACCAGCACTGTTCGTGAAGCCCTTACCTTCTCCGCCCTCCTCCGCCAGCCTGCCTCTACCCCCCGCGCCGAGAAGATCGCCTACGTCGACGAAGTCATCAAGCTGCTCGATATGCAAGAGTATGCCGACGCTGTCGTCGGTGTCCTCGGCGAGGGTCTCAACGTAGAACAGCGTAAGCGTCTCACCATCGGCGTTGAGCTTGCGGCCAAGCCTCCCCTGCTCCTCTTCGTCGACGAACCTACTTCCGGTCTTGACTCGCAGACATCCTGGGCCATTCTTGACCTCCTTGAGAAGCTCTCCAAGGCAGGCCAGTCTATCCTCTGTACCATCCACCAACCGTCCGCGATGCTCTTCCAACGCTTTGACCGTCTTCTGTTCCTCGCCAAGGGCGGACGTACCATCTACTTTGGCGATATCGGCGAGAACTCTGAGACCTTGACCAACTACTTTGTCAAGAACGGCTCTGATCCCTGTCCCAAGGGTGACAACCCTGCTGAGTGGATGCTCGAGGTCATTGGCGCTGCGCCCGGTTCACACACTGAGATCGATTGGCATCAGACTTGGCGACAGAGTCCCGAGTATCAGGAGGTTCAGACTGAGCTTCAGCGTCTCAAGACCGAGGGCAGTGCTCACAATGAACCTCATGACTCTAACTCTGAGTCGTACCGAGAATTTGCTGCGCCTTTCTGGGAGCAGCTTCGCATCGCTAGTCTCCGTGTCTTCCAGCAGTACTGGCGCACTCCTTCATACATCTACTCCAAGGCTACTCTGTGTATCCAAGTTGGTCTCTTCATCGGTCTTGTCTTCCTCAACGCTCCTCTGTCAATCCAGGGCTTGCAGAATCAGATGTTCGCCATCTTCCAGGTCTTCACAGTCTTTGGTCAATTGGTTCAGATGCAGGCAAGTCTTGACCACTCCCCCGTCCCTCTAACTCTCACTAACATTACTAGATGCCTCACTTCGTCACCCAACGCTCCCTCTACGAAGTCCGCGAGCGCCCCTCCAAGACCTACAGCTGGAAGGTCTTCATGCTCTCCCAAGTCTTCGCCGAGATTCCTTGGAACAGTCTCATGTCTGTCTTCCTGTTCGTATGCCTCTACTACCCCGTCGGCTTCCAGAAGAATGCCGAAGCAGCTGGTCAGACCGCCGAGAGAGGCGCTCTCATGTGGCTTCTCATCTGGCAGTTCCTCGTCTTCACGTGTACCTTTGCCCACATGGCCATCGCCATCACCGACACTGCTGAGGCAGGCGGTAACCTTGCTAACGTCGTCTTCATGATGTGCCTGTTCTTCTGTGGTATCTTGGCCTCGCCCAATAACATGCCCGGCTTCTGGATCTGGATGTATAGAGTATCGCCGTTTACGTATCTTGCCTCGGCGATTTTATCGACTGGTATGGCCAACACCAAAGTCACTTGTGCTGCCAACGAGTACACAGTCATGCAACCCCTCAACGGCTCAACTTGCGGAGAATATCTCCAGAAGTTTGCCGACAAGGCTGGTGGCTACGTCCTCAACCCCGACGCCACATCTAACTGCAACTTCTGCTCCGTCAGCGACACCAACACGTTCCTCAAGGCTCTCAGCGCTAGCTACGATGACCGATGGAGAAACTTTGGTATCGGAATGGTGTACATTGTCTTCAACATTGGCGCCGCTCTGTTCCTGTACTGGCTTGTTCGCATGCCCAAGAACAAGAACAAGAAGAAGCAGGAGTAGACACACAATCGAGCTTAGGCTCTTTTTTATTTTATTTTTGGTACAAGGATTTGTTTAGAGAAGTACAATAGACTGGTTTGGGTTTTTTACTTTACTTAGAATAGCAATCATCGAGTGTCGATATTAGACTTGTAGGAGGCTCAATAGCACATCGTCAATACATTACGCTCTCTACCCGCCAGTCGAGCGCCTCAGTGATTGTCATATCATTCGATCACCGCGAATACAAATAACGCTTCTTTTCCCCCTCTGAGTCATGAGTACCGGCCTCTGTCAAGATGGACCCGTTATTCCCTTAGCTCCCGGCATTTCCTACGTTGCCGATATTACCGACATAACCATTAAAATCCACTATTTGAGATTGAGAAATGTGTCATTTCTAAGCCAGACCGCGGCAAGCTACGCCGATCACGCCTGAATGAGTCGCATGTGTAACTTGTAGGGCTGAGGTGATTGGAGTTCGTAACAGAATTGGCTGGTAACGTTGGAGTTGACATAAATATTGACACACCAGCAGATGCAGTGTCGTCATTGAACTGGCACGAGATCAATTGTTTTTCTTATATTATGGTTCAATTGCAACTGAGCCATGGAAATGATAAAGATTAAGTACTCTCCTTATTGTATGGGCATCCGAATTGACTGAGATTGCTTGCTGAGCCTCGGTCCAATGGAGGAGACTGATCATGCAATTTGCTTCACGATACTGACATTCAAGTGGCAGCAACAGCAGCATTCATATGAACTCACGCCTTTTTATCAACAAGCCAAAGCAAAATGCTGATTTATAAACAATTATCCATATCACGTCTTACAAAACCTCCATTCACAGTAATTTGTCCATCTCCCTCCAATCATGTTCCCCACAACCGGTCGGCCGAGTATCCAGATGCCGGGAAGATCTGCTCCATCGGAGGATGAACCCCGCGGGCCGCAAACATTCCCGCCTCAACCCCGACCCCAGCATCGCTAATACAAAAGCTTCATCACATCCTTCACCACTGCTCACCATGGCCGATTTAGTCATCTCAAGTCAAAATGGCCGTCGATACTTCAGATAGCGTCTGTCCCACGCTCCGCGATGAGCCCCTCGGCGACGAAAAAACTCAAGACGACGCTGCTTCAACACAAAGTGAGGGTAACAACGATGAAGAGAACCAAGCCTGCACAACAGATGATCCAGGTGAGCCTCCAGATGGCGGCTTACAGGCCTGGCTCCAAGTAGTGACAGGCCATCTCGTCGCTTTCAACTCATGGGGCTACCTCATCAGCTTCGGCATCTTCCAGCCCTACTACGAATCCGAATTCTCTCTCCCGCCCTCGACAATCTCTTGGATCGGCAGCTTAGAAGTCTGTCTCATTTTCTTCATCGGCACATTCTCCGGTCGAGCTTTTGACGCAGGATATTATCGCGCTGCCCTCGCAGTAGGTCTTTTGCTCCAAATACTAGCCATCTTCATGACGAGTATCGCATCATCGTATTGGCAAGTCCTTCTCGCCCAGGGAATCTGTCAAGGTTTAGGGAACGGAATCATTTTCGCACCGACGATAGCAAACATGTCGACGTATTTCACTACCAAGAAGACTATTGCCATATCCGCTGGGGCATGCGGCGCTGGCACGGGAGGAATTGTGTTCCCGCTGATTGCGCAGCAACTTCTTCCCAAGATCGGGTTTCGCTGGACGGTGAGAGTTATGGGATTGGTAGTTGCTGTGTCGTCGATGATTATAATGATCATTGCGAAAACGAGGCTCAAAGCGAGAAAGGCTGGGCCGCTTGTTGAATGGGCTGCGTTCAAGGAGCCAGCGTATGTTCTCTTTGCAGCGGCAATGTTCTTTACCTTGTGGCCGACCTGGATCTCCTACAACTATGTGAGTCTTGTCTCAATTGACCTCTATGACAGCTGCTGATGGTGTTAGGCTCGTCAATATACAACCGACAAACTCTCCGGCTCAGCATCAGACTCATTCCTAATCCTCATTGTCATCAACGCCGTCGGTATCCCAGGTCGCATGATATCCGCCTTTCTCGCCGACCGTCTCTTCGGTGCGATCCCCGTCTTCATACCCACCATATTCTCAGCCTCACTATGTCTCTATCTCTGGTCACAAGTATCCTCCCTCACTGGCATGTTCATTTGGGTCAGCATATTTGGCTACTTCGGCGCCGCGATACAAAGTCTCTTCCCTTCATGCTGTGCGAGCTTGACACCGGATTTGAGCAAAGCCGGAACGAGAATCGGAATGATCTTCTCGATTATTAGTTTTGCGGCGTTGACGGGGTCGCCTTTGGCTGGGAAATTGATGCAAGCTACAGGCGGGAGTTACTTGGCGGCGCAGATCTGGGGAGGGTCGAGTATGATTCTGGGGATGGGGTTGCTATACGCTGCGAAAAGAGCTGAGGCACGTCACGCGGACTAGAGAGGCTAGGAGTTTGCTCCCACCGCTGGTTAAACTTGTCTTTCTTAATGATCAACCAGGACGACGACCGTGATTACCTGAATCTGCAGCCTTCGATTTAGACTTGAGAACGATACCTCCATGGATTCTAGACAGAGATGTAAATGCATTTCTCCACCATTCATTGACATTAATGTGACTCCAAACTCCTACAATGTAATTTGTTCATGACTCCGAAAACGCCCTTCTAATTGGCTTCCTTTCGAAGCCAAGGAACAACCCCCCCTCCGCTCAACGTCTTCTCAACTAACGCTGCAGTAACCCCATCAAGTCCTGCAGCCTTCGAACGCTCCAACCACTCTTCAACACTGACCATCTCAATCTTGCCGTGCTCCGCTTCAAGGTAAGACGGTAGATCCTCCACAGAGATCTTCTCCTTACCGCAGTGATGCTTGTACGCTACTGTAACATGAGTCTGAGTCTCGTAGATGGAGCTAGCAATGCCCTCAGCCACAACGTCCACTGGAACAAAGTCAAAGCAACCACTCCACGCAGCCAAGTCAGGAAGGGACGCTGTCTTGACAGAGTAATGGAAGATGTTCTGCATAAGATCCGCCTTCGGAGCATTTGGACCCGTAATATTGGATGGACGATGGATCCAGACCGGTAGGTTGCATTGGCTGGCATACTTTTCGAGTATAACTTCCGAAGCCCACTTAGAAGCAACGTAGCCAAGTGAGCCATCAGTAGGAGGTACAGAATCTGCAACGGAAACCTCATCAAGACCGTCTTGGCCAGTAAGTTGCACAACACCACCAGTTGAGACGAAGTGCACTGGAATCCTTCGCGTAATCGCCATCCGTGCTAGCTCCCTAGACGACGATGCATTTGATCGCTTCAAGGACTGATATGTCTTGAGGAAAGAAACATCGGCGCCGTTATGAATGATTCGCTCGACTGTGTCGGCAAGTTGATCGAACTGCTCTTGAGACAGACCGAGTCGTGGCAAGGATAGATCTCCTGGGTAGCACGCGACCCGCGAAGATGAAAACACTGGATCACTTGTGTTGGAGGAAGACCGAACAGCAAGACAATGGACCTTGGATACACGCTTGTCCTCGAGTAAACACTTGAGGATCGCAACACCCAAAAATCCAGTTGCACCGGTGAGGGCGACATGAAGATCATTTGTTGTCTCGGAAGGGAGTGGCTCTTGGGCTCCAACGATGCTCAAGTCAGCGTCAATGTGAGTCTCTTCGTCCCAATCAATTGGCGTTGTAATATGTCCTTGAGTCGTAGAGCCATCGATCTTCGCAGCCATCTCTCCAAGAGTACTCGCTTGGAAGAGATCAAAAACAGAGACGGGAACTCCGAATTCGCGTGTGATGTACTCTCTCAAACTGACGATGCGAAGGGAGTTACCTCCTGCAGAAAAGAAGTCTGTGTCTGGGCCAATAGCCGCGTCAACAAACGGCAGGGCCTTGAGCCAACCTAGCTTGAGCCTCTCTTGAGTCTCAGTGAGGGGCTTATCAACTATGTCCTCTTCATGAGGAACAGGAAGAGCATCAAGAGCATATTGATCCAACTTGCCAGAAGCGTTCATGGGAAGCTGGTCAATGGAGATAATTCTGGCGGGTTTCATGTATCGCGGAAGGGATAACTCCTTCAGAAGCTGCTTTAGATAGCCTTTCTCGTCTGAAAGGCAGTTGGACTGGGAAAGGATGACGAAGGCAACAAGATATGCACTATCTCCTTCACCACGAAGTGAAACAGCCGCTTCAGGGATTTTACCATCGGAGGCCCTGACTATAGTGCTGGCAATATCTTCGAGCTCAATTCTGAAACCTCGGAGCTTGATCTGCGAGTCACCAGCGATACGTCCAAGGAAGCAGAGACGCCCGTCCGACAGAAACCTGGCCTTGTCGCCTGTACGGTACATTCGAGTCCACCCACGAGCAACATCTTCAGCTGTTGAGAAAGGATCAGGAAGGAACTTGGCCTCTGTAAGATCTTGTTTGTTGAGGTATCCAATGGCAACGCCAGCACCTCCGATCACCAGTTCTCCAGCGAGTCCAGGGCGGACAGGCTGCATGTTCTCATCCAAGATGTAGCAGGAATAATTGGGCAAAGTACGCCCGATGCTTGGATTGTGAGTATCGCGCAGAGTATCACCGAGCTCATTTGAACCACAGGTGGCGATGATAGTAATCTCAGTGGGGCCGTAACCATTGAGAAGCTCAAGATTCCTCAAGCCGAGTCTCTTGAACTCGCGCGTAACACGGGTTGTCATTGCTTCCCCAGCGAGAGACGCATATTCACAGTCGACGCATTGTCTCAAGTATTTATAGCCATGATGAATGACCGATAGTGCGAGTGTAGGCGTCATGAAAGTGTGAGTGACTTTCTCATCCAGCATTAACTGCGCAAGTTGCATAGGGTCCTTGCGTGTCTCACTGGTTGCAACGATCAGTGTTCCCCCGAGCATGATGGCGAGAGTCATCTGGGTAAGCGACATATCAAAGCCAAGAGGTGCTTGTTGAAGCATGCGACACTTGTTCAGATTGTTGTAGTGGATGAAGCCGTCAAAGTGATGTACAAGACTGGCATGAGTCAAAGCCACGGCTTTTGGAACACCCGTTGTACCGCTTGTGTAGAAGATGTAGCCCATCCCATCCCCCCTGACTCGGTTGTCCAGATGAAAGGTGTTGGAAGGGTCAGCCTTGATAGTGTTAACGTTGATTACTTTGGCTTTCGTGTCTAGTCCATGGGATGTTGTTGCAGTTGAGTCATCAATGAGAAGTACATCGGGTTGGCAGTCATCAACCATCAGTTGGAGACGCTTGATCGGGTTCTGGGCATCGAGAGGTACGTATACACCGCCGGCTTCAGCAATGGCCATCAGAGTGGGAAAGATGTACATGCTGGGATCGCAGTACACACACACCCGTGATTCCTGCTTAGCCCCAGCTTCAACAAGGGTAATAGTAATCTGGTTGACCAAAGCCTTCAGCTGCAGCCAGGTGAGAGCTTGTCCCTTATCTGTGACGAGGGCAGTATCGTCAGGCTGTTTGACAACACATTCCTCGAAGTAGTGGCACAACGTCTCAAGGCGAGGAGATGGGATCCTTTCACCTCTGCCAAGGGTCAATGCCTTGCCAATCTGCTCGGCTGTAGGCTTGCAGATCTGTTCTACGGTCCGAGAAGGTTCCGAGGCAAAGAGATCTAGGGTCTGTAGGTAGCTGTCAAGAACAAAGCTCAACTCACTTTCAGAATAGAGGTACTCCTGTGTCTTGACGCTGATAGAAGCGGATCCATCTTGGTAAGTCTCAATGTCAAAGGTCAGGTCGTAAGGGTTGTTGGCGTCCTTGAATGCCACAAGCTGGGCTTGACAATCCGCCAATGGGACCTTCTGGGTAGAGCCCATCTTTTAGTTCAGAATGACCTGAAAGAGAGGGCTGTGGGTTGTGGAGCGAGGAAGCTTGATCTCATCAAGAAGGACGTCGAAGGGGATGTCAGAGTGCGAAAGAGCGCTGTTGGCCTTGGACTTGGCGTTGGCGACCACCTCCGCCAGAGTCTGTGAGGGCGACAGTTTCAGTCGCAGGAGCAAAAGATTGACAAAGAACCCAACAGTATCCATATGTGCAGCATCGTTCTTGTTGGCATCAGTAATGTCAATGCACAGATCCTTGGTTGAAGCGAGATCAGAAAGGACAACCTGGAGGGCAGCAAGATGAATGTGGAACGGTGTGACGTCAAGGCACTTAGCAACAGTCCTGATACTTCTGCCCTGATCAATAGATAGAGTCCTCTCAAGTGCTCGTGTTGTGTAGTCCGTAAGGGGGATGCGTGTCTTCACCTCGGCAAAATCGAAGACGGATAGGGTCGGTGGAAGCTCCTCAAGTTCGGACCTCCAGTAGGCGAGAGTAGTATCCGGGACTTTAGCTGCCTTATGAGCAATAGCGAAGTCAAGGTAGTCTTGCTGCTTGCTTGAAAGGGTCTGACCAGCGTAGGCCATGGCTAGGTCACGAACCATGATCTGAGCGCTGTAGCCATCGAGGGCGATGTGATGAAAGCCAAAGATAAGGTCAAAGTCGCCGTCAGAGTCTGGGACAATAACGGCTTTGGTGACATTGCCATTCTCCAGGTCATATGACATCTCTTGCATGGCCTCGTACTCGATCTTGGCAGTTGAGTTGTGCTTCTGCTCTAGCCTAAAGCTGGAGTCCTTGAGCACTGCTTGTGTCGGCAGATCAGTGTAGGGATCGATGAAGAACGATGTACGGAGAGACTCATGGCGATGGATCACCTGTTGGAAGGCCCCTTCCAGGTCATGCAGTCGGAGAGGACCACTGATGTGATAGTGCATGGTGACGTTGTATGTGCTATGGTCTCGAAGGAACTGTTGAAGGAACCACAAGCGTTCTTGAGCGAAGGACAAAGGGCCAGTGCGATCAATCTTAGACTGAATAGATGTCTCCTCGTCAACACCAGCTTCGCTGGTAACCTGCGTTGAGTTTGGGCTGTTGCGAATGGTAAAGGGCTCATTCTCAGTGGGCGGGGCTGAAGACACCGCCGTTGACGTCTCAACAACATTGAGAGTCTTGATTGCCTGGAAGAGTTAGATAAAAATAGGAAAAGGATATGGGATCAATCGCACCTGTTTGGTGACTTCAGTCTTGGGCTCGATCTCTTCGAAAATAGCTGGCAAGTGAGAGACGACAGTAGAGCAAAGTTCAGTGATGGACGCAGTGTTAAGGATCTCTAACACAGGAGTATCGACTTCAAGTTCCTTGAGAAACCACGATCTGATCTCCGTAGCAACAAGGGAGTCTACGCCTAGGCCGAGCAGTGACTGTGACGTTTTAACAGAGCCGGCCTCAGCTTGGAGTAAGCGCTCAAGTTTGGTGCAAAACTCCTCTTCCACAACGGCGAGGATCTCGGGAGTTCCCTTAGCTTCCGATAGACGCTGAGAGATGGAGACTTTAGTGGCCGATGCACGCTCTTGGTGTTCCTCCTCCAGCATATGATGGCAAAAACGCATGTTGTCTCGCCAAAAGTACTTCTGGGCATCAGGCTCTAAGCTGAAACGGTTGAGACCAGTGATGAGCTCGGGAGCATGAGTTGAGGTGGGCTGGCCGACGAGAATGGCCTGGGAAAACATGTTGAGAAGGTCAGTCTCGGAGATGGCCATGTAGTTGGAGCTACGCAAGGTAGCCTCGTAAGCTCCCGTAGAAGAGACGTAACCTACGCCGAGAACCATGCCAATGTGCATGACTGAAGCAGCAAGGCCCTTTACACGTCGCTGTTCAGCGATGGCGCTCATGAAAAGGTTAGAGGCAGCATAGTTGGCTTGACCACGGTTACCGACAACACTGGCCAAAGAAGAGAACATGATAAAGAAGTCAAGTTTCTGGTTAATGAGAAGTTCATGGAGGTTCTGGGTACCCTTGACCTTGGGTCCAAAGACCTTGGTGAAGTCGTTGACCTTGAGCTCAGTAAACGTTCGATCAGACAAGAGTAAGGCAGCATTGGCAGTACCGCAGATTGGCGGCATCTCCTTGACGATCTGGTCATGGGCTTGCAATAAAGCCGCCTTGTCACTGACATCAGCCTGGTAAAGATTGACTTGAGCACCCTGGATGCGAAGCTCTTTGAGCCACACTTGATCAATCGCAGCCATGTTGCGAGTGGTCAAGGCAAGATGACGAACGCCGCAGGAGACCATCCAACCACAGAGCGCTTTGCCGAAACCTCCAATGCAGCCAATAAGAAGATACTTCTTGCCGGAGCGGACGAGCCGACTGCCTTCAAGAGGCTGCACACATCTCGCGCAGTCAGACGTAAAGGTACGCTAACCGCGATCGACGGTGTCTTGCATCCCTCTAGATTGTGTGTGGCCACGTGAGACTGGAAAGTGCTTGCACACAGCTCTGACACCAGCTCTTTGTCCACATCGTCAATTTAGTCAAACAGCCGCATTCAATCTAAGGGTTTGGATGCGCACACTAGATCGAGGCAGCATTCTTCTTGTCCATCGCTCAAATTCTAGATAGCCTGAGCTGTACGATGGGCTGGGAACGAGGACGCCACACCTCCCTGTCGTGGGCAAGTGAAGAGGGACGGCATGCTCGTTCTTTCGAGGGATACATCTATTGATGCAGGATCTTTAGAATATGACCGAGCGGAAGGGGAAAAGTGGACGATAAACAGGAAGCAGACATAAAGTCGATGTTTGAAGACGTTTGTCTGTTTGGAGGTTGAAGCGAGCTTACTGCTGAAGTGCCGTCCCTCGCTGCGGACGTGATGCCCGAGTTGGCAAGTCGTTGTAAGGGAAATTCTGGAGTCAGTCCTTCGTCATAGTTGAATTTTATTGATAGCTACTTTCGTTGATGTATATTTTATTGTATTTTCCCGAAGCAAGTGGAATAGGGTAGTATGTCCATTCGAAGTTGGGAGGTCTGCATAGATACGACAATATTTTTCTCGTCTATCGCCTAACTTTTGACGACGTGTTTGTTTTCATGTTGATAGCTATATGTATGTTCTAATAGTATTTTGTAACACATAATCTTGAAATCGAAGTTGTTTAGCTGAATATTTTGGTTTCTAGTACTCCCACTCCCGTCAACTATAGTCGATTGAATATATGAATGAATCAAGAAAACGTTTCATGAAAGCAAGAAGGCCATGGAAAAACAACATCTCTTCTTGGGAAATCGTAAAAGAAACACAATCCCACAAGCCAGCGTTTGAGGAAAAGTTGCGGAGGGTCACCAAAAGATTGGTCCCGTACGGTTGGCCAACTGACTTCTAATGACACGTGGTGATCTAGGTCGTTTGTGCCATGGTTTTGAGAACCGCGTTCTAGAGGCTTAGAGGCGGTAAAAGCAAAATCCCAGTCAGACGTCTCTTTTCGTTTGCTATTAATCTTGCTCCTGTCGAATTGATCTTTGTCATCGGGCTTCTGAGTACCATCCGCGTCCCAGATAAATATGGCAGAGCACGCAGTTTGCCTTTTCTGAGCATTCCAGACTCGGCCAAGTCGGAGTAACTTACCTTTACTCATCGCCAAAACTAGCTCTTTTGCCATAAGTCTCATATAGCGTTCAGGAAAAGTCTCCCTCTGCAAGGCTTGCCCCTGACTGGTGTGGTCACAGTTGAGAAATCTTTCAAGGTGTAGGGCAAGAGTTATCTCATGCAAGCGTCTCAACTCACCAGCAAGCTGAGAGATAAGCCTTTTCTCATCCTTGGCAGAAAAGGAAGTCTTTTCTATTGACTCAGGCAAAAGAAGACGAAAACTTGCGGTATCGATGATCCGGTCAAGTTGCCAAAGATGGCCTTTCGTTTTGACACCATTCGGCTTCAATTCAACGTCAAAAAACCGGCATCTTTTATTGAAAGTGAACCATCGTTCACCCTCGGGAGCATAAAAGTTATTGAATGCTTGGTCCTCCAAAAACTGAGACAGGGGCTTTTCGAGTATGGAAAAAGAATGCTCTCGGGATTGATGCGAAAGGATTTCTCCATTGAGAAGGCACATCGCTAATATCGATATACTGAGGCTCTTGGGCTCTTGCATTCGTGCCTGATCCATTCTGATGGCATATTGGCAGCAATTGGCGATGATTGCCAGTCTATCCCAGGCATCTTTCAGCCCCCGTGTTTGGATGTCGGCAATGACTCTTGGGGTCATTGGCATCGATTTGTCCAGTAAAGCAGTATATTTTCCTGCAACTCGAAGAATTTTCTTCGTATGATGAGATATGTCATCTTGTTGAAATTCTTGGGCAGCCCAACAGCAAAGTTTGGTGGTGGTTCTGCAGAACTGCTCAGATCCGATGCAGAGTTCATTTGGAACATCTGAGAAACATTTATGAGCTTGTTTCCTCGCCTCTAAGAAGTCAGGGTGTCGGATGAGTAATGTCATATTTCTGAGTCCGCGATAGTTCTCCTGAAACGTCCAGGCCCTCGTCCACCAACGATCTTTCGTAATCCGAGTCAACAAACTCAATGCTTGTAAGATCTCATCATGATCGACTTGTTTTGGCTCCTTCACGAATGTCTCTCCAAGGACCTTCGCCAATAGATCAAGTTCATACGCCCACTCGATTGGCTTTCCGAGCAAGGCCACAGGGTGTTCACTGAGACTGTAGACCAAGTCCATGGTTTCAACTGCGCGCTTCTTCTCGTTGCATCTCTTATGGGGACATACATCCTTCTTACGGCAGGTCTTCTGCTTGACACAATGCCTATCAATCCAAAGACGGCGAAGACCCTTTGCATGCATGAACGAATTCACACGGTCAAAAACGCAGTCTCGGACCGGTGACGAGAAGAATTGGAGTCGATCTCTATTTTGAACCTTGTATTTGCCGTTCGTCGGGTCCTCCTGATCAGAGTTGTCCCAAGTATAAGACAAAGCGACATATTCTCGCTGCTTGAAGGCATTAATATTGTGTCGCATCAATCTGGGTCCGTCGCAGGAGTTCTTTCCAAATGTGAGACATTCTAAGTCTTCAATAAATCTCAAACATTTCTGCTGGGGCAATTGCTTTCCTCCAATGTCTTGGAGAAGCGAGGCAATTGACTTGCCATGGCTCTCGATAATGTTGCGTAGAGGGACGTTGGAATCGTCTTCCATTGTGTTGGAAAGTGAACCTCCGTAGGTATTGTGAGAAAGTTCGATACTAGTTAGTTGACTCAGTTTTGTCGCTCGTTTGCCCGTGTCAGCAGTCGTATTTAAGCCGTGGCAAGCAGCAACGTAGCCATCGTTGCTGCCTGACTCGATTCCAAGGTTATTTACCCCGCGCGAGGCTTTCCTGGCTTTATTGGTGAGTGCAAAGTTTGCTCGGCAGCCATTGGAGGAGAAGTTGCATCGGTGTAGGAAGTGATGCGCTGCCGCCTATCAGCTATCGGTTTGTAGATGTGTCTAAAACTGCAGTGAAATTCACTCACATTCCCACATCAAAGAAACAATTATACTCTCTTCTCTCCTCAAAGTAATTTTGACAAGCAATAGCGGTGAGACTTGGAGCAAAACTGACCAATGTCAGGGTGCGATTATATTGATTATCAAACCATTCAAACATGTACGTGTTCATTGCCTAAACAAGAGTAATATATAAATTGATTTTGCTTGAGCCTCAAATACCCTGTTTCGAGTTGTCCAGAGACTCCATCAATGCTTTTCTCCTTGCCTTCGGCAAACTTCGCTTCTGGTAGCCGTCACAATGGGTATACCATTTCACAACGGCAGATAAGGATCAAGTATCCCGCTCAACATGTGGGCAATACTATTAAAATTCAGCTCAGTTATATCTATGTGATTCAGCTTTTAGTGCTGTCCATCTATTGAATGGTTATACTGCATAGGTTGACTCAGCCTTAGAAGTGGTTGTCGCTGTTGAGACCCGAAGCGCCTCCGTATCCTGTTTCCTGTTTTCTGGGGCGCCTGCAAAGGAAGGTTTACCAGAAAGTGCTTGGAGAATTTAATAGTGAAGACCTGGGCGCTTTATTGGTAAGCGCCTTCTAAAAGGCTGACCGGTAAAAGTTTCCTGCATTTCCTGGTAAAGGCGTTTACCCTCTGCCAATAACGTGTGCCCACGTTCATCTGAAGCCATAACCTTCATCAGCATCGCCTGCCACTTTTATTCGGCAAGGAGATTGCAGAAAAAGGTTGAGAGTATCAGGCCGACGGTCAATGCTTGCGAATTACGTGGAAATCCCCACGATCTACCGATTTAATCATGAACTAGTGATAAGTTTCATGATCCTAGATGGACTCCAAATCTCACCTTTCTTTGCGTGCAAGATAAGTTCTGGATATCTTTTGACGTCCATGGTAGCCTGATACCACCTGTCATGAAGACGGTACTTGCGAAGCGTGCGGCTCTGCGATATTGTGGCCTTCCGAGGCAGACTCTTGTCTGAGAAAAGATTGATCTTGGTGGCTGCTTGCCGGGTGCTAAGTGGCTAAGAGATTCCAATCAAGATACCGCTGGGTATAATGGCACCAGTTAACGCCGGACGGAGGGAGCTGAACGAAGTGTTTGCATTGCCAGTGGTGCTCTGTCCAGTCCAACTTTTATGGATAAATCGTCGTTTTGAATCAGTTCTTTGTCCAATAGAGGATGAAGTACGTACTGTTGAAGCTGTTTTCTTGCCGCTCAAATATTCCCTTACCCAGTGCCGCAAGGCATGCACAGATTTACAGGAACTGGCCGAGAGGTGCGGCATGCGTTTAGTTAGCGAGTTAAGAACGAGTTTCGGCAATTGGGCTGGGTTGACCTATATGAAACGCGATATTGTCTCTTTTGAAAAGATACTAGCTGGTTACAAATCAGCTATAAATGTAGCTTTGCCTGACGCCAACCTGTCGCAATGGATCCCGGGAGTGGAATCTTGAGGTTGCATTGACCGCAGGAAGTTATGCGTGTAGGCTTACTGGATGTTGATCGTTATTTTAACTTTTCTCAGCGCTATGCTGTGAGCTTAATAATATTAGCTTACAAACATTTGGTGTTTGACATGTAGGCGAAGGGTAAAGGTGGCTACGCAGTGACACACGTCTTCAACGGGTCACAGGGCATGTATGTTGATTTTATTCTTCCGTTTCGCGTAAATTGATGGAATTAATGCATATGAGGCTACTTCTTCAAGATTGAAGTATGTCAATGAGCTACAATTTCGGGATAAGTGACATCATCGATGAGCCAAAGAACTTTGTTTTGCATGAAACTGCTATTTCGATACGGCCTTCACACATTTAGGTTACGTACTTCGACGCAGGTCTATTTCAATACTTGAGTAACTTCACAAAACATGTGAAGCCGGTATATCTAGAGGGGCGGTTGGAAAACCCTCTGGTAGGGGAAGGTGACTTATATAATCACTGAGTACGCAGGTCGATCTGGTAACAATCAAGATACTTGAAGGTGAAGGTACATCCTGTCATTGAATTTCGAGAAAATACGTTTGTTGGGCTTTTGTGTATCAAGTTGCTGGTGACTCAGAAATCCTGCACTCAATGATCTACAACGGCGGTCTACCCTTTCTAATGTAACAAAGCATTGTAACGACCTTGGATCCTCAGGGCTCGTATACCATGCCAGCTAAGAAGAGTATAGAAGCGCGCATTCAAATACCAAACGCTTTGGGATCCACTAAAGGATGCATCGTCTTGCAGTGACGCCTAAAATTATCCTTCCTGAAATTTGGTTGATCAAGCTTGGGGCAAGTTGCAACAGTACAGACCCAATAGTCTTTACCATACTTGTGTTTGGTTTCGACATGGCGCTTGAGGCTACTGTTGGTAGAAAAACTACTTTTGCAGATAGCACAACTGCTGGGAGATGTTCTTTTGTGCTGAGGCTTTGGCGTTGTTTCGGTAGTGGTGTAGTCCGTGGCCTGCTGCTGAATCTCACTCCAAGGGTGCACAGGATCTGGTATCGGGGATTTGGGGATGGTGCGGGTGTCGAAATGATTGTAATCTAGGAAAGTACTCTGCTGAGCAAAGAGCGAACCTCCTGATATCGAGTGGACAGTATCGGCACTGTCGTTCTCAGAGAAGAGTAAGCAACTAGCGGATGGTGGAGCAATCTCAGATGCGCGAAAAAACTCGCACTCGTCGTTTTCCACGTATCGGCCAGAATACGGGTACTCAAAATCGTATGCCGAGGGTGCCGAGGGATCATAGTTATCCGATTGATAAGAGGAGACACGTTGATCAGATGTTCTACGTGGCCCGTTGCTTGACAAGAGTCAGGCGGTGCGGACCTCTTGCTAAGTGCACACGAGGTCCGGCTTTTTTGTTTAGAAAGATAACAAAATGTTGGTCGTCTCAGTCCTGGGCCACTTGATAGTTGATTGCCCAGGACTGTTTCTGAAAAATAGAGAATATGTGGCTTAAGCAGTTCGGACGGGAGAGGCTGGGCTGTCTACTTCTTTCGAAATATTTGTTTAGGTCAGGCAGACAAACGTCGCCTTTAAAGGCATTAACATCTCTCCTGTCCTGACCTTAGCTTTGACTAGCCGTCAGTTCACCGAAAGATCGCACCTTTGTTTCTTACACGTATGATGGGCTGTGTTCAGCCTATCTAACCATATTTGTGTCGATCTGCTGCAGTGTGAGACTACATCCCGGAACCAACCTCACAATCAGCCAATAGGAAACATGAATGCAAGATGCCCAAGCCCACCTTGCCAACTCGCGGCTTATCGAAGATTTGGAGTGTAGCTTGGTGCCTACACAACCTCAAAACTGTCCAATCAACGATGTACGTGTGCCAGTTCTGAGCACGTAAACCATCTTGTGCAGTACTAAGGGCCTCATATCTGACCAATTGGAGAGATGTGTACATGCGCGCCTCATCACAAACCAATAATCGGTGGTATTGTGGCATCAAATATACGATCAGCCCATTTCAACCCAGCGAAATTACATATGACGTCTAAGCAGTGAACAGGATTTTCGCAAAGTCGCATGCATAACTTGCTAGACATGTCGTCCCAGATGTTGACAACCTCAAAATGAGCCAATCGCGGGCCGAGCCACGTGTTGGTGCGTTGCAAGGCAGCTTCATTCTAAAGGGCAAACTTGTGACATCACGTATGATTCCTTCGTCTATAAGAGCACGCATGGACTGCAGATATCAAAGTTCAGCTCGAGTCATCTACCATCTCCTTTCATCTGCATACCAATCTCCTGATTGAAACTATACCCTACTGCCCCTCATAACTCAACATGACCAACAATCGAAACACTAGCTTTCTCTCGGACCCGGCTTTACTTGAAAAAGTCGACAAGCTTCGCGACTTGAACATTGGCCAGCATGTGCCTCTTCCTCAGGTAAATCCAAACACGAATCTGTAAAACACACTATAAGCTTACACATAATATAGCTTGTCGTAGTCGGCGATCAAAGCTCTGGGAAGTCCTCTTTGTTGGAAAGCTTAACTGGCATTCCGTTCCCCAAAGATCAGAGTCTTTGCACTCGTCACGCGACCCAGATTTCATCCCGTCGTGGTGATGTCGACCGCGTTGATATTCGTATCATCGCAGGGCCACATGCTTCTGAGGAGCACAGAAAATATGTCGAGGCATTTCGCATGTCTATGCCCTCAGGTTTGGAATTTCGCCAAGATTTTGCCAATGTCTTACAAAAGGTTAGTGAGTTTTCATGATCGTTGTTGTTGTAGATGCACCAGCTGAACATGGAGTAGGCCAATGACAAAATGGGTCTTCGGGCTGATGTCTCAGTTGGAAAAGGCGCCGTATTCAGCGAAGACGTCCTCAAGATTGAGGTACAGGGACCTGATGAAGACTATCTCACCATCATAGATGTTCCGGGAATTTTTCGCACTACTACCGAAGGAACCACCAAGAATGATATGGTAATGGTGAAGGATCTTGTCAAAGGATACATCAAAGATGAACGTACGATTATTCTGGCAGTGCTGCCGAGTAACGTTGACGTTGCTACGCAAGAAATTCTGGAACTTGCAGAAGATTACGACAAGGATGGTATTCGTACACTCGGAGTACTCACCAAGCCTGACTTGGTTCTCGAACCTGGTGCACAGGCCACTGTTTGTGACTTGATACAGGGAAAGAAACGGCCGCTGAATCTTGGTTATTTCCTGGTGCGCAATCGCGGGCCAAGCCTCAAATCGGAAGATCAGACAGAGCTTGACCAAGTCTTCCGAACCCAGCCATGGGTCAGCCTTCCACAAGACCGAGTGGGCATCCCAGCCCTAAAAGAACAACTTGGAACACTCCTGTTCGAGATTACCCAACGCGAATACCCTAAACTACTCCAGGATGTCAATAGTCAAATCAGCAGATGCAAGAAAGAGCTCGGCGCTCTTGGACCATCCCGTCAAGACGAGCGTGAGCAGCGCAGTTTCCTGATTCATATCGCTGGAGCGTTTCAGGATCGTGCCAGGGCAGCACTCATGGCTGATTATAACGTCGACTCAGTCTTTGATCAAGTTGAACTTCGTCTTATAACTCATGTTGTCAACGCCACTGATCTCTTCAGTGCTGAGTTTCAACAGAGTGCTCATTCGCGACATTTCCAGAATCTTGAACTGCTTGAATCAGCCGAGGAATCCGTTCTTTTTGACGCAGATCGCCATGAGGCCGATTCAATCGGATTGACAATCAGCCATCTGCAGGATTTACTTCAGGCTACATCCGTGAACAACGCTACGCAGGAAGAGCTCGCTGAACTCGGGGAAATCATTGACCTCTCGCATGACACGACACTACCACGTGACGATGTCACGTCATGGATCAGAGATACATACCTGCATACGAGGGGTCTTGATCTTGGCACGTTCAATGCAAATGTAATTGCCATGGCCTTCTCAGAACAGTCAAAGAAGTGGGGCGACATGACCAAAGTTTATATGAGCAGGGTCATTATCATTATTCATCGTTTCATCGCCACTGCACTTCGTGCTGTTTTTCCAGAAGAGCAAGCCCGTCGTCAGTTATGGTCATCGATCTTGGATGGTCTGTTGCAGCGCTACAAGATGGCAATGGATCAAGCGAGCCTCCTGGTTGAAGTTGAGCGGCACAAGAAACCTTACACCCTGAATCGACAATTTGCCGATGCCCTCTCAAAGGCTCGAGGTTATCGGATCACTGAACTGCTGCGTCCCAAAGCAAGAAAGGACACGAGGCAGTATGGAGAGCTACAAAACATGGTCAACCTAGACGACATTGCGAAAGCCGCCGAAGGCAAGAGTAATATGGAGCAACTACAGGAAGAGATCCATGACATCGTTCGCGCTTACTATCAATTAGCACTTGACCGTTTCATCGATAATGTCTTTCAACTCGCTGTCGACTACTCCCTGCTCCATGGTCCTGACAGCCCCCTGAGCGTTTTCACTCAGGAATGGGTGATCGAGCTGGAGCCCGAAGAACTCGAGCGAATTGTCGGTGAGAGCAAATCCGCCATGAAGCGTCGCTCGAAACTTGCAAAGAAGATTCAAGATTTGTCTAGCGCTTTACAGATCCTCAAGCTCTAGTCGTCAGTTGGTCTCTAAGTACCACCATGACACATTTTCGAAGAATAGTGAGCATTCTATTAGAGAACAGGGGGACAATGCCGATGAATTAACGTAGCCACTGGTACTTTAAGATTAGTTCTCCCGGACGTAATAAATTCATTCATTCTTTTCGGTTGCATCTCATAGTGAGTGTAAATATTGTTACATGCCTGCTCGTATGGTTTGAACCACTTTGCACTCCAAAGTAAGTAGAGGCAGTCCCGTAATCCCATTACTCACCTGTTAGAGCCTCCGTAAACGTATACTTGAACCGGTTGTCTGCGATATTATCATACTCATGCCGCGGGGGGCTGTGAATCAGATTCAGTCCGCACTCCATCAACCCTTGATCATGTTGACCTTGACATCATCCACTGTAATGATTACCGAACTGTGAAGAAACCTGAATGCGAGACGTGACCCGAAAAGTTCGTTACGCAGGAATCATGGCCACAAAGACAGTTGTATTTGCTCCGACCGGGGATTGAAGATAACATCGAGCTGCCGATCCGTCTCTTGTGAGCGCTCGCCAACCGTAGTAAAGGAGTTAGTTACTTGACTATAGTACGTCTAGTTGAGCCACGAGAAAACTTTGAAAGCGCTTGTGGGCATTAGGAAGACAAAATGACTGATGATTTATTCATGAGCCCCCGCTTAATGGCCCTGCTTGAGTCATTCACGGCCTGGGTCATTAGGCTCGAGAGGTCAATCGGAAGTTAGCCCGCTCTGTTGCGAGGATACGTCACCTGTGCTGTCTTGGCAAAGATATCTGTTGCTCCATACAAGAAAGTCCCACTGATCCGAGAACCTTGAGTCGCAGAACAGCTAACATTGGTTTCTCCTCCTCTTCGCCGTTCAGTCAAAGAAAAAGGCTATTTTAGAATTTGGCGGCTTACTAACTCTACAAAATCTATAGCCCAGATACGAATGTCAGTTGATTGTGGTGCACGCATCTGTCTCAAAGGGGTTTTATTCTGGTAGGTAATTCCGATCTCCAACGGGTTATATGTGTTTTGGCATGATAGACAATAGCTCCTTTGCAAATGCAGCCGCTGTTGCCGCAGCGTATGGCTGCCAATCCTTATTCTTGTGGGAGTCGGCATAGTCGCAGATTCCCCGAATTACCAGACATGGAAAGTTGTTCATAAGCCCAGCCGCCTCCATTTCGACACATAGTGCATTTTTGTCCAAGCGTAGTCGTTCGCGGGTAGCCCCGTTACGCATGACTCGATTGGCGGATGCTATCGTTCCATAGTGAATCTTAGGCTGGGTGCTTTCGCGTCGTGGGCGCTCTTCTAAGTAGTCTGCGTCACACCTCGCACATGTGACATACTCCCCTTCATGGTTGTAACCACTGTTAAACAAAAGGTCATTGCTCACGCCCGGGTACGACCAGTTACGTTCTGAATTTGAGTATCGAGCTTGCAATCTGGCTATACTCTTCGCAATGGACAACGTTAATCCAGATGACCCTGATACTTCCTGGGATCTGAGTTGTGAAACAGCGCTGAGCAGCCTAGCTGGGGGTTGGTTCAAGTGGCCCGTCGTTACAAACCGGTCGTTTTGGACATCTTTGCCATAATCGTATTGGACGACTCCTGGTGAATCAGGTGAAGGTACGCTGATTACAACGTCCCCTAGCCGCACATCAACTTTCTTACTTGGTATACCACCCCCAACACCCACCAACAGAGTGTATTGCAATGAAGTGAAGGTCTGACGCATGTGTTCTGCCACTCGAGTCGCAGACGTCGTTCCTGCAACCCCATATGGCAAGCACACTATGACCGTCTTAAGATGGGCGATCCGGCCAACGACATAAATGTTCTCGTCCAGTAGACCCTGCCTAGGGGCTTGAAAAGCCTCGTCGAGCATTCCTTTAGCTGCCGCCATTTCTTCTGGTAAAGCACAAATCCACCCAACTGTGTATTCTGTTGGCTTGGGTGAGTTTTCGTTGACAGTGGCAGCTGGCTTAACATGCTTGAAGTTCAGAGTAGTGTTTAAATAAGGTTGTGATGCGATATTGTCGTTGATGTTGCTCGCAGTACTCTTGCTGGCATGTCCAGACCCCTGTGCACACCGATGAGAACGTGAATTAAGGTGCTACAACAGGACTGATTAGCATAGAAGCCGACTCAAGGGGTATTTATGAATAATCTCCAACCATCTTCAAGTCATTTTCGCTCGAGAATCTTTGATCACAAGGCTTGCAGTATTTCTTAAAATGATTCTTGGCTGCCATATGCTGTTTTGCCGCTTCCTGCGTGTGAAACTTGATAAGACAGGTTTCACAAGGAATCCTAGGATTCCAGTGTCCAACTTGTGTCATGTGCGCTTCTGCTGCACTCCGATCTTTGAACAATTTATTACACTGATCGCATTTTTTCGTTGGTTTCTGATGACGTTTCTCATCCATATGCTGCTTGCATGCTTCTTTAGTGCCAAACGTTCTGTGACACGTCTCACACTGGGGCATTTTTGCATTCAAGCAGATATCTCGAGGATGATTACAAGAGTAGGATGGTTCAAGTTTGGCGAAATGAGGCTGAAGTTCATCAACCCCGCACGGTGTGATCTGGGTGATGCCACGAATTCGTCTCATTGGTTACCTTTGGTAATCCAATAGCTTACCCAAAGAACATAAGCAGTAAGCAACAGTATGAGCAAAGTTGCTAAGCGCCACATAAAATCTGTCAACACTTCAAGGAGGTCCGACTACCTTGTGCAGTACTATTTTTACCCACAAAGCGAAACCAGAATGGGAAAACGCCTACATTGCATTGCAGCAGTGCATGCTTAATTAGTTAACAATGGCTGATTAAAGGGGACTTATATCTATGTAACAAATATTGCATTTAGGGTTAACTATATATGTTTTATATAATTAATGATATAAATAAGGCTAAGTATTGAACTTTAAATTAAACATATAACTGCTATTTGATAATAGTAGTGTCTATTTAAAGGTATTTTTTTAAATTTTTTTAATTATTTATTAATTTATATCCCCTGCTGTTTATATCGTCTCTAGCTTTATTATTTAATATCAATCTTTTTATTTAATAACATTATATGAAAATAGTTAATTATTTATAATATTAAAGGTAAAAAAAAGGCTTTACTATATTTAGATGTTATTTTTTATATAATTTTGTGGCAAACAGTAGGAGAATAGACACTGAAATCGAAATGATCTTCTTGTATAGGCTCAGGAACTGAGCAGAATGGAAGAGAAACTGTTGTAGCCGATTACTCTTGAAAACGATTTGAAGATGAAGGATACTAGGATTGTGTTTTCGTATGTCTCAGGCGTGGGAGAAGGTTCTATGCCGTAGATATACGGATCAAGCCCAATGACCTGACAGTTGGACTCGACAAGCTTCGTAGAGTGCCTGGAAAATGGTAGAAGTAGGATTCGCTCTACTCCGTAATCGCTGTTCAAGAAATCAACGTAAGAATTTACAGGTATTCATTATCGCGGTTGACTGATGTAAGAACAACTTGGGTACGACTAATGGAAGTCAATCGCCATTCACATGCACCCTTGCCCATCAATACCTGGATCTCTTATACATTCCAACCAAGGGCGTGCTCAAATACCTTAGGCGTGTAGGAGTCAAGGACCTTCAGTCTTGGATTGCCTGGTATTTGCCGATCTCCTTGAGCTTTAAATCTTTTGGGCCAGGCTCCGATAGGCATCTATGTCCAAGAATTAGTGACAGCCACCTGGAAAGCACTCAAGAGCCATGAATGACAGCTCATACTTTGCGAATTTCTTCACCAACATCCACAAACCCTGCCCTGCCCAACCTCGCTCTCCATTAACTACAAGTGATCTAAATTGTCTTAAGCTGGTATAACTAGCTATATCAAATACATATTGGCAAAGGCAGCAGGTTCAGGACCACCCTTGGTTGGTGAGGAACTTAATAACCTGGTGACAGATCTGATGAGCGACTCCTATTCTCACAAAACCAACGTATCACTCCCAAGCGATACGATCTGCAGCGTTTGCCAACGCAAGGGCCGTGTCAGAAGCCACAGAGACGTAGGTAGAACCCGATATGGCAACAGATCAGGGTACTGCTCAAGGTTCACAACCCAAAAGTCCCGTTGCTGGCTATCTGTAACGGAGCGTCGCTCAGGCAATATCACAAGGATTGCGTCGCAACGCTCTCAAGATTGAGGGCCAGCACGGAGGTCGGAGACTTGGATACATCGGCCCTTGAGTATCTTCGGACGGCCTTGGTGTGACATTGCAGAGAAACATCCGTATATTGTCTCTCGAGCCCTTTTCTAGCTTCTGATATTGTGATCCCAAGCTATGCAGATCTTGAACCTAGAGCATAGTGACTTTAGAGTACCCCGCAGCATGGGTCGGGTCTGGGGTTGGAAGTGCCAGGCTCAATTTCACCAACATATGTGACAAATGAAGAGCATGGATCGCAGACGATGGCGCCTTTTCCGAGAACGTGGTATGTGCACGGTGTGTGAGGAACTCGTAGACATCATGAGCAAGGTTCTCCGCCAGAATCATGTCTCATTGACTGTTCAGAATCGTCTCTGGTGGCTTCGAAACATATATATCAATTGGCTCCATGAGTATATTGTCAGAACTGGCAGACTTCGTAGTAATTGTCCTATACGCCATCTCGATTCTTCCGTTCTCAATCTTTCTGTTACAGGCCAAAAAGCACTGTTCATGAGGAGGCTGACATATCTGAATCCCTTGCAGGATTTCGGCATTGGTCAATACCCGGTCATACAACACCAACAAGATATCAAGATATCAGGAGCCAATTTGACTCGTCTTACTATTGTGGCCTGAGAGTCGTCTGATGTTCGAGGCGCTTGAATCCCCAGATCTTAGAGGTCTACAACGAGTGGCGATCGAAGGAGTAGGCCTGAGATTGGAACCTGTGGCTGATACCCTGGTTTTTTATTCTTTATTGTGAACAACTTTTGAAGCTGAGGCTTGACGGCCGCCCTGACCGAGTCTTGGTCGGCTTCCACGTGGTTTCCAATGCTCAGTGCGCCGTCTAGATACGCGTTCAACCAAGTTGGATCAAGGTAGAAGAACCGAATCGAGTTCGGTGGTAGACTCGATGGTTCCATGAAGAAGTGATATCAAGGTATATTGGCTAAGAACAACGCATCATAGACCCACGCGACAACAGCAGCCCAGTCTGAGTATGAGGGGTTATTCTGCTCATCATAAAGCCCAGCAGAAAGAGTCTGGCCTAGCTTGGCTCTCATCTTTTCACCCCAGATGCTTAAACCATTGTCCCTTCCAGGCGAAACGCTGCTGAACCATTTCAGCTTGTTCTCCTTCTTGACATCGGCCAGTTTCGTCAACGAGCCTGTTACAGATATTAAGCGTTCCAATACTGCTAGAGCCTCGTCTTAGCTTTCAATGACTTCTTCCTCCGCAGCCAGCAATGCTCGTTTGTATATAGTAGTTCGAAGCCGGACAAATGCGCTCAGAAACTTCTCATCAGCGATATCATTTGCTTTACCCAAGTTCCAAGCGGCGGCAAACGAGTTGTCAACTAAGCCAACCTCTGTATCTAGGATCTGCGGTTAGGTTGAAGACGGATGGATCGGCTTATTAAGGGCAGTGCTGGCGGAAGGAAGGGTGGGAATGAGCACTCCGCGCTGGAGAGCAAGTGTTTCTTCACCAGAGAGGGCTCGATATCGAGTCAATGAATCGCCATCTCTGATGCGTTTGCCCACGCGCTGCCTATCAGCCTCGTGGGCGCTCGCTCAGCAGCCTGGCATACCTGTCCTGTCTTGGCCGCAGCCATTCAAGCCCACTTGTAGGCGTGCCAATGGCTTTGAGGGCATTTTCAAATTCGGCCTGGTCGTCCTGGAGAGCATAATTGGATGTCCAGCTGAAGAACGAGCAAATAATCACCAGCTTGGTGTCAGGCGATGGTTTGAAGCTCGGGCCGATGCTTTCGAGCGACACGAGATGAGCGACGGCACCTAGAGATGCAGTATCCTGATTCCGTGAAGAACCAGGACGATTAGCAATGGCCACACTGAAGCAGCCATTTGTCATAGACGCTGCCACAGCTTTTAGGGCTTCACTGCCCACTTTCCGAACATGAGCCAGGTACCCATAGGATGCCAAGTCGATCTCTCCGGTCGAACTGCCATCTCCTACGTAATGTTGACGAAGTGCCTGTAACAGCTACTTGTTGACGCATATGAAGTCCGCCTGTGAATCCTCTTCGTCCGGTGAGGTAATATAGTATTCATTGCCACTGGCGCCGCACTTGCTCATGAAGAACACGTGGCCTATATGTGTGCTAGTGTTGGCGATTCATTGCTGGAGCTCAAAGCCAACGAAGTCGCACCACTGTACTGCAACGCTGTCTTGAACAGCCCCCTCGTCCCACTGTATGTTGGATGGGAGGCAGAGTACTTCCACATCCCGTATAGCCTCTGGAAACCTCAACACACCCGACGTACTGCTGCTCAAGTGTACCCAGAGCTGATACAGTCCTTGATTCCAACCAAGGATGTCTCCAGAAATAAGTCTCGATACCCCCGTCGTGTAATGGGCGGAAGAGCTCTATTGCATCTGAGTCCGGGCGGGTCAGTAACAAACATGTTGCGAAATTCGGTTGGAAGATTGCCAGAAAGCATGTTGGAGAGCGTTCTTGGGGTCGACAAAAGAGATCAATTGTATGTTGACATGGGGTTCATTCCCTCCCTAGCATGTCGTCTGGATGGGTTACAAGATCAGCTTGTCACTCTGATTAGCGGGACAGCTCATGTACGCCCAACGCTTCCAGACGGGACTGCGATGCCTGAAGCGGTGACTGCGGGCAAAGCTGCTGGATTTACAGCCGACACTCTGGGAATAATTCGCAATCACTGCAATCCACTGCCCTACGGTGTTCACATCTGCTGGGGACTTTCGTGCAGAGATCCTGACTTCCAAGGGCAACACAGCCGCAAGAGTCGCTCACGTGAACCAACCTCCCATGAGCGATGGCCTTTTCGGGCCTCCTCTGGCGGATACTGCCGATCAGTGGAAGATGAATAACTTGGATTACTTCATCCAAAGTTTGAAGATGGAACACTTTGTTCTGCGAATGATCGAGATCCTCGGCGACGCTTCCAGCTGTATGGCACCTCCTGCGGAATCGTATTCCAGTGTCATGAACGCGGCTTTTGGTCGTCCCTTTGACTTGGCCATCGCTGGATGGTCGATTGAACTGAATCACGAGGAACTGCAGCCCCAGACGAGCCTTCAGAACCTCGCTAGAAAGTCCTACACCAAGCTTTCTGACTACGAGTTGCCTCTCCATCTCGGACTCAAAGAATACTCCGACAATGGCCTAGTTGCGTATATGCCTTTGCGAGAAGACGCACCGACGCAGCCAGATTTTGGCAAGATCTTTACGTTCTGGCCCAGCGGCGTGGCTGAAACGGAGCACAACGAAGACTTCGCATGCAACCCAATACATCCATCTACCCTGCCAACCCTGAAAGCCCGCCATGTCGACTTGCTCGAAGATGACCATTCCCTGAAGTCTATGGTATGATCAAAATACGGCAGCAGCAAATCCTTCCCTTCTGTCTCCTTGTCGATGTATTTCACCCCGTGAAAGCTCAGACGGGCGTCCTCCTACCATCAAGCCTGGCGCTTCCAGACTGGGCAGTGCAACAAGCGCTGCGGAAGATCAGGCTGTTCTATTGCGCGGGACCATTCATGTTCCGAGAAGATCCCCTCAAATCACCGAACCCGGCGGGAGCAGAAGATCCTCCAGCGCCGCCAGCTGCCGGTGATGGGGTACATGTCCCGGTCGTGCCGTACGGGAAGTGGTCATGGCTGCAGCCTTATATTGTGGATGACGACATGAAGTACTGGAGCCGACATATTGATAAGGCCGAGGTTAAGGGTGATGTTCTCAAAATGCGCAAGTATTCATTCACAATGGCCGATGGTATTCTGATGTCGACAGAGCCGTTGCTCCATAAAGCCTAGGTGTTTAGGCAAGACATGAGGCACGGCGGAAGTTACTTACTGCTCTATTCAATCCAGTTAGTGTCTAGATTCACGACAATGTGTTTGCTGGGTCGTGTCTTGCCATCTATATGCCGCACGCTCGTTCAGATGCCGCTGTTAGTCTCCATGGTTATGCACTTTAAACATAGGTTTTTTCGATGTTAGGTCAAAGCCAATCCGTTGTTAGTTGCGACTATACATGTGAGCCGCCGACTTCTGTTGAGAACTTGGCCATCGTTTGATGCGCCTGATGAACATGTACTCGGGTCTGTGACTACCAGTGCCACTGAGAGAAAACATGAAGTACGGTGTACATTTAGAGATTATCGATGGAGCATAGTGAAGCAATCGTAAGTAGCGTTGGTGATCCTGGCGAAGAAAGCTAAGGCTAGAAAGAAGTGATGAGTTCCATGGAAATTTATATGTTATAGACATGAAATTGAAGCAGTAGCATCATGAGGTGGTGCTGTGTTGCGCTCCGCACAATTGTATGCCCGCTGGATCCCGACATCCAATGAATGCCTCTAAAATTTCACCACCATCAAATTCCTAAAACCAACATTACCACCCCTCCTCAGCATGTTCACAACGCCATGGATATGCCGAACCTGCACAAGAGCATTAACACGCTCTCACATGCGCCAATTCGTGCGCTTCGCAACCAATGGTTCGACCTTCTCTCAATCTCTCTCTCTCCCTCCGCTGACCATCACAGATGCCTCACCACTGCTCGCACCCGCCCTCCTCCAGCGCGCTCAATCCCTCACAACCGAACACGACGACCTCCAGAAAACCCTCAACAACTCCTTCGATTCTACCATAGCGAAACGCGTCGGCGAATTATCCCGTGTAGCCGAAGCGCTGAAAGCATGGCAGACCTCTCAAGCCTCGGTCGCCGAATTGACCTCCATGCTCGACGACCCCGACCAAGATGCTGATCTCGCTGCCATCGCCCGCGATGAACTCTCCTCCGAGACAGGGAAACTCGAATCCCTCGCCCGTAGACTCTCAGCAAGCTTAACACCCCGCCATCCCTTCGCCGACTTCCCATGCATGCTGGAATTCCGCCCTGGGCCAGGCGGCCTTGAAGGACGGTACTTTATGGACACTTTGTTCAAGATGTACAAGGCGCTGTGCATGCGCCGCGGTTACCGCCACACAGTAGTAAAATACGAATTCGCCGATACCGCAGGGGACTCCTCCTCATCCGCCGGCGAAAATCCCCTCCAAGAAGCAATTCTCGAAGTCCACGACCAAGGCGCCTTCGACATCTTCCGCAGCGAAGCAGGCATGCACCGCGTCCAGCGCATCCCCAGCACCGAGACCAAAGGCCGTGTGCACACCAGCGCCGTCGCTGTCTGGGTTCTCCCCTCGTTCCCCGAGAACGGCGCTGCAAACATCGACTTTGACGATCCAGAGAGTGACTTCTACGTCAACCCGCAAGAGGTCAAGATTGAGACGATGCGAGCGAGAGGTGCGGGAGGACAACACGTTAATAAGACTGAGTCTGCTATTCGGATGACGCATTTGCCTACTGGTACGACTGTGTCGATGCAGGATCATCGGTCGCAGCAGCGTAATCGTGAAGAGGCATGGAAACTGCTTCGTTCGCGAATTGCTGATCAGCGACGAGAAGCTCGTGAAGAGGAAGCGTCAAATCTGAGAAACAGCGTACTCTCCAAGACACAGATCACACGAGGCGATAAAATCCGAACATACAACTACAACCAGGACCGATGTACCGACCATCGAGCAGGTGTTGACGTGCACGACCTACCGAATGTGCTTGAGGGTGGTGAAAAGCTAGATCGAATCATGGACGGCGCAAAAGATTGGCTTGTGAACAAGGACATTGAACTCCTCATGGCCGAGGAAGAAGCCAAAGACAAGCCCAACGGCAAGAAATAGATGTACAACACTGTAGCATAGACATTGTATTATCATGTACAGAACCCGCTGTAGGGAACCCAAAACTGCTGAATAGATGACGATAACCGAGCTTCATATCTTCGTGCCATTATACGTATCAAGAACCGAACCAAACTCCAGCATGCATCCGACGAGGATACCGCGCTCCCAGCTAACTCCATGCATTCAAGTCCATTTCACATTAATCCTCCAAGGACAACCTTTCCGATACTAGCCACCTCCGTCTTGACATGACTTCGACTTTGTTCTTCAAAGTCTCGTACTATGCCTTGCACAATGATCTTGCGCACGCGCGAGTCCGCTTTCGTGAAGAGTTCAGCGACAGGTGCAGAACACTCTCTAGGTGATGGAACCAACGCCAGAAATCTCGTGTAGCAATCGATCAACACATCGCACAGCGTCGCAAACGTCTCGAAGTAATCGGGGTCAAATGGCAGCGATGGCGTGAGTAGAAAAGTATACTCCTCTCCAGGAAGAAGATCTGTTTCAGAAGCTGCAAAGTTCATCACTGATAGTGCAGGACCACCGGCTGCGGGGAGAGAAGCCATTTCGTCGACCATGGGGTGCATGTCAGCTGCTGATGTTGAGCGACGAGATTTACCGCCTGGGCGACGGAACATGCTTGGCAAACGGGCGCGGGTGAGCGATGCAGCTGTTGATGATTCGCCGTGGAGTTGTTGGAAGGAGTCGAATTCGGAGAGGAGGGAGTTAAGACTTCGGAGGAATTCGATCGAGGTGGAGGAGTACAGGTCGATGATTGTCGGGAGGGAGAGACCGAGGAGGAGATGGTTCGTTGCTTTGCGACCAAGCTTTCGAGCGTCGAGCGAGGGCATGCGACTGAGGTCCGTCTTTTCGAAGAGATATGTCTTGAACCAATAAATCCGTCCTTCATGTCTATGCCATTGTTAGCTACCACCCAAACCGCTTTGCCCAAGGTTCAACATACGCTTTCCGCAGATACTCCAACGTCGCGATGCGCTTATTCGCAAGCTCTGTAACATGGTGATGCATGATCCCCGCCTCATTCTGCTGCCACATTCCCGACGTCCCAACCGCCCCATTCGGCATTATCCCAATCGGCGTATTCGGCACGATGCCCCCATGAAGGGTCGTCGACCCCGTCGCACTCCGAGTCAACATCTGCACTTCCACCGGCGCCGCACTTTCCACACCGTCTGGTCTAGGCGCTACCTTTGCAGCAGCAGAGAGAGCGTAATCCGGCAGCGCAGGAGGTGCCGTAGCATCCGTGACAAAAGCGTTGGGCCCGTTGCCAAACGAACTCCCGCGTCTGCTCGACAGCGATGCCTTTCGCGAGAACGACGCTTTGCGGTCTTTGGGGAGGATGCTTGTGTTTAGAGGATCAACGGCGTGGCCGTCGCGCGTGGTAGGACGAGAAGCAGCGTTGGAGGAGAAGATGGATGTCGAGAAGATGGGCGTGCCCGTGTTGTTTGGTGTTTTGGGAGGCATGTTCTGTGAGGATCTGGCCCTGGGGGGCGTAAGGCAAGGTTGCGTTTGTGGTTGTTCTCTAGCCGTGCGTTAAAGGAGGGCGAGGGGTGTGATGATCGGCAGTCGAAGGAGCCAACAGCTGGCGTTTTCGCCCAGAGCCGCACGCGGATTGCAGCGTCGCAGTGAATCCACGGCGGGGGGCGTTTGAGGGATGCAAGAGATTAGGTGTTTCGATTCGCTGGACGATACGCCTGCAGGCGCTCAGCGCCGCTTTTTTCGCTTCGTTTGTTCGATTATCTCTCTCGTGAATCTCAATATCGGATCGTCGTGCTCATCAGTCACTTTAAAGGCAAAAAATGGTGGTGAAGGGTGTACCGCTGGAAGTTTGAACCCCTGGTGCCGAAAGTGGATTGGGGGGGGGATTGCTTTTGGAATGGAAGGGAAATAAAAGATCCAGGGCCTCGCACGCGGACGCATGGGTAAGGTAACCCTGGAAGGGTTCAAATTGAAGATCCGCTAAACCTCCTCCAGCGAAAACCGGAATAAACCACCATTCTTGGCAAGACGCGCATAGAGGATCAGTTTCGTGATTTTAATTGAAAGACATAAGGGCCGATTGAAGATGATCGTTTTTTTAGCTGGTTACAGGCTCAAACGTGTTGCAGCGAAATTGAGGACGTTGTTAGAGTTGGCCGACAGCTATGCGCGTGACGGGCATCAAATGTTAGTCTAGACAGAGACATACTCGGAGGGGGAAGATACGAGGTTACGCTTAGCCGGCCATTGAATAGAAACCATTGGATAAGGAGTTCTTCACTGTTCTCGTCGATTTTTAGAGCATGCAAGCCAATCACAGGACCGCATACAAGCCATCATGTAAAGCATGCCCTACCCTGCAGGAGCAAGATCGCATTCATCGCGACGGGGAGTGAGCTTTGTAAACAATACTATGTGAGACATGTCTGACGAGCATGGTTCATTACCTAGCTCGCTTAGTACCAAATGATTGTGCTAACCAGTCTTGCGTGAAATTGTTGATGGAAAGCCGTTCTGTTCGTTATTTATCTTCTTAGAGGCTCTAGCCTGGGACAGGCCCAAAAGATCTCGGTGAGCGCGATTTCTCACTATGAACTGGGCGTAACATAATTTGATCTTGTTTCTTTAGAAAGAGTAGACCTGATACCAGAAATTGTCGACGGTCAGCCAACCTTTGCGGAAAGTACAAGTTTCAAGGTCTCGATTTAAGCTCAGCACGGCACGCTAACGCCGTGACGTCTTTGTGAAACCTCAAGACCCCTCATTGCTCACTCCCCTCAGAGCGCCATCGCAGCCATTTTCGATGGGAGCAACAACGCATGAATACCAGATAACCACCCAAAATGACAACTATTCACATCTTGCGCCATGGACAGGCTTTACACAAGTAATCCACCCTCCATCTCATCCCTCACCTCGCTGACAACCCAGCGTCGAGAGAGGCTATCCCCACCGCGACCCTCCCCTAACAGATCTAGGCACACGTCAAGCCCGCAACGTTCAACAAACCATAGCAATCCAACCAGATCTAATAATCGTATCGCCCATGACGCGAACAATACAGACAATGTACATCGTCTTCCGGTATCTCCTCCACAGCACCAAAACTCCAGTCCAAGTATGGCCCGACCTCCGCGAAGCCCACGACGCAACCTGCAACAAGGGAATTTCACGAAAAGAATCAGCAGACAAGTTTCCAAACCTTGACTTTTCAGCTTGTCCGGAGAAGTGGGACTTTCCGCCGCATACCCCGGATGATGCAACGGTACGAGCCGAGAGAATTCGGCGGCGGTTGAAAGATGTTGCTAGGACCGGGGGCTATAAAAACATCATGGTGGTCACGCATCGAGGCATTGCTGCGTTTCTGGTGCAGGGCGATAGATTCAGTGTTTGCGGTAAGAGTACCATTACAGTCTGAGATCTGAGCTGATGATGTAGAACACCGGTCATATCGCTTCGCCACGAGTGAAGAAGTCGACAATGCGAGGCATGGAGTTAACGTAGATACAGGCCTTGAGCAAGATTTTGGTCCGACAGTGTTGATAGCAGCCGAGAAGCCGAAAACTCGCCAAGGCAAGTCAAGCTGACGGGTAACTACTATCAATAGATGTATAGCCCCCGGCCTGAAAACATCATCTCTAGGCTTGGCCGATCAAGAGGTTTGCGGAGAATACAACCCTGGACTACAGTGCTGATCTCGTCTCACTAAGCAATAATAATGATCAACTGGAAATATTGCTAGAAGAGTCCAGTGGGCCACGTCAACATAAGCGGAATACCACCCATCCTTTCGCAATCACCGAGCCCACTTTCGCATTGGATCCCATCAGTTCTCGCAATTTGGGGTCCATGACAACTCCAAGTAAGCCGGAACAAACCCATAAAACCTCCAACCGTTTCAAAACAAAACCTAATTGGATGAACAGGTGCCAGTGCCGGAGCTATCCAGCAAGCTATCGATAGTTTAACTAAAATAAAGAAGCGCTACAGCCAAGCCTCACGAGTATATTTACAGACACCAACCCTCATCTCTGCATCAGTGGCGGTGTAATGCATCCTGCAACTCCATGCTTACAGCTATTTACGTTATCCCGTAAGCCAAGCCACTGCAGGGCTGGCCAGTAGAAACATCTCCGCTGATTACTTTCAACGCGCTGTGGAGATGGGATGAGAAAAATGTCAGCACTAGTAGGGCTGAGCTCGGCATCACGGCAGTTTAAATAATCTCCCAATTCCAGATCCAAGGCCAAATAGAAAAGAGAAAAAAGTATTCAGTGCTTATTTCTCTTTCTTTCTTTTATTTCTTGGAGAATTTTATTTACTGAGAAATCATGGCTTTCGTACGACCGTTGCTATACGTTGCCCTCGGGCTTCTCATGGTTGTATCCATCATCGAACTCTCCTTCATATCAAGCATGGTCGGTTGGCTACACGGTAACGCTAGCGGAACTTTCTCATTCGAGTACCGCGGTACAAGACATAATCTCAAAGGCGAGCCTGCAAACTTGATCGTTGATCAGGGACATACCAGCAACGGCGCAGCGGGAACAGCATTCGTCCTCATCGGCTGCGGAGGAATCCTCGCTTTGATTCTTCGCAACAGACAGAACCCTGGAAAATTCAGTCGGTTCTTTTACAACACGTGGCTTGTCTTCAACGTCCTCAGTTTGCTTCTCATCCTCACGGCTCTTATTTACACCTTTGTTGTTACGAACAATCATAACGGACAGCGTATCAACCCTAGTGTTGCAGCAGGTCTTGACGATGATGAGAAATACCCTCTTCAGTCATGGACGCCTCAGAATTGGTTCTCAGCATTCTTGAAACTCGACCTCACCAACTCGAATGAGAGAAACGACATTGAACATCACTTGCGTCTCATGCGAGGTTGGCAGTACAACCTTATCCCCTTCTTCATCATTCACCTTGTTGAGACCGGCCTTGCACTATGGGACGCTATGCTTCGACGGAAGGAACCTGTGCCAGCCTATGCGCCACCCAAGCACACCGTCTGAGTCAATAGTGTATACGAAAAGGATTGGTATCCTTGTAGGATGGAACGTTATTTTTATTGGGTACATAAAGGAAGAAATATGGCATCGTACCTCTGCATAAAATGTATAGAGGTCCAATCTTTAATGATATAATAAATAAGATAAATAAGATAAATAATCTACCCACCTGCTTCATTCGTGATAGGTGCCAGTTACATAACTCAATTGTGATTACAAATCCTGTACAGAGGACACGAAGGGCGTGCAAATCTGTCACTAGGGCGCCTAGCGGGGCCTTATCTCAACACCATAAAAGCATCTACAACCTCACGATACTCAAGCTTGTCTAACTATCCACAAAACAGATCAAAATGACTTGTTCACTCTTCATCGGCAACAAGCGCTACTCCTCTTGGTCAATGCGACCCTGGGTTCTCCTCAAAGCCCTCGAGGTCCCCTTCGACGAGAAACTGAACCTCTTCAAACCCGGCCTTCGTCAACCTGACTTCCTCGCTTTTTCACCAAGCGGAAAAGTCCCCTGTCTTCACGACGGAGAAACATCAATTGTTGTATGGGACTCGTTGGCTATCTGCGAGTACATTGCTGAGAAAAACCCCGCCGCTTGGCCGACGGATGCAGCAGCACGCGCTTTTGCTCGCTGTGCCGCTGCGGAAATGCACTCTGGCTTCGACGCCATTCGCGATGAGTGCTCTATGAACGTTGGATTGAGGATTGAGCTCGGAACACCGAGTGAAGCACTTCAGAGGGATATCAACCGCTTCAATGAGCTTTTTAAAGAGGGGTTGGACAAGTTTGGTGGACCGTGGTTGGCGGGTGATAAGTTTACGGTTGTGGATGCTATGTATGCTCCTATTGCTTCAAGGGTGAAGACCTATGGTATTGAGCTGGATGGTGCGGCAAAGGAGTACGCTGATCGGTTGTTTGAGCATGAGGCTGTGCAGGCGTGGATTCAGGGCGGTATCAAGGAGACGAGCAGAGAGCCTTTCCACGAGGAGGATTGTGTGAGAGGCCGAAAGGTTCTGAAGGACTTGACCAAGGAGTAAAGTATCTATTCAGCGTCGGAAAGGTACTGTTGGCTAAGAGAATGGCTATATAATCGAAAAAAACTAAGTGTGTTTGGGATATGGTAGACTCAATAAGGTCCTAGCAGTTAGTTTGCCCCAGAGGAAGTTCCCGCGAAGCTTAGATATGCCATCTTGGTAAGGAATCGAAACTTCTTTCCCCAAATGATGAATGCACCTGCGAATACAGTGATGATAAATGACAGGAAACCAACCAGGATAAAGGTATCCTGCACACCCATACTGTCAATCCAAGGTTGAATACCAAACGTCATAGCACAGCCAATGATGTTTCTGATCAAGATAACAGTCGTGATGGCTTCACCATCAACCTCCTTGTAGCAGTCAACAACATACGCCATCGTAAGCGCAGCTGCAACAGTCAACCCAAAGCCAACGAGCCCCATGCCGACAACGGGCCCGACCCAAGGTAACGAATTAGCTGCGCCGACGCCGTAAAGTAGGAGGCCACCTGACATTAGGAATGCCATTGGGATGAAAACCCAGAGACGGAACTCTGGCTCGAACCAGCCGCGGTTTCGGCGTGTGAGGAATAGGACAAGCTTGTCGTTAAAAGGACCCGCCATCAAGGCTCTGATGGAAGGTTAGCATAAAAACAGTGCTGTTTTGTGAAGGAAGCTTACCCGAAGAGACCTCCAATAAGAGGGGATAGCCAGATCAGACCCAAGGCCTCATTGCTCATGTTATAGGGTGATGAGCCCAAGATGGAAGCTGTAGTGGTTCCCAAGACGGTAATCCATGATACGCAAGCCCCGTACTCGAGACCGCTCTGCATTAGGTAAGTATATCGTCAGTTTGAGGGAGGAATGCTTCCGCTTACCCAAACAATGGCTGGAAACCAAGCTAGTTGCAGAGGTCGATAGACCTGCCTGACAAACTGTCCCCAAGTTCCTGGAAGAACAACCCAAGGGCGGTACTGAAGACGAAATGAGTCTGTCTCCAGGACTTGGCCAACTCTGTATACACTACCATTAGTCAGTGCGGAATGTAGTTGCTTTTCTCCTTTATCGTCGTGTTGGATGGCCTCCAAGACAGACTCTTGGGCTACATGCTCTGGATCTTGAGGTAGCTCCGAATCTCTGGGGAAGTTGCTTTCTTCCAGAGTAAAGAAGATAGCAACAAAGAGCACACCACACAAGATAGCACCCCACCAATATACCCAACGCCAACCGAGAGTTTCGATCATGTACCCAGAGCAAATTGGACCGACTGACGAGCCTGCTGATAGACCGAAGGCGTAAATACCCAAGGCGAAACCTCGCTCATGAGCAAAGAAGATATCGGCGATCGAGATGGGAACGAGAGCCTCGTATGGCGCACGGCTTAGTCCAAAGAGGACGTGAGCGCCGATGAAGTCACCGGAGTTTCTTGCAGATGCAAGCCAGATATGGCAACCGATCACTACAGCCAAACTGGAAAGGTATGCAATGCGCCGACCAAACTCTGCCAGACATTAGCACGCGTACTACTTGAGCCAAGACGATTCTCGATACTCACTATGAGAAAGAGGCGTGAAAAAGACATTTCCAACTCCAAGCATCAGTAGTGTCAAGGCAGTACCGATGTTGAGTTGGTTGATAGATGTCCCAAGCGCATCTTGAATATCGACATAAACAGAACTTTCCCAGTTGCCGAGGGCAGTCATGACAGTGCTGTATATGACGAGCAAGAATAGATGATATCTCTTCCGCCAGACTGACCACCGAAGTGGATCACCCAGACTGTCAGATGGAGTCGGAACAAGGATAATGTCTCCATTTTCATTGGTGTTGTAGGATGGTCGAGTGACGAGATAGACTGTTCCAGGGACGACTTCATAGTCGGAGTGGGAAGGGCGGTCCTCCATGATGATTCAGAAGGGGTTGTTAGAGAGATGTTTGATGAGTTTGATGCTGAAGTCATAGTTTAAGACGACGAGGTGACTTTATAGACTTGTCAACTCGACTACCGATAAGGAGTTCAGCGATCATGGTCAACCTGCCGATGACTATGCCGGCCATTCATGGTGGGAGGAGAATCTGGGGGTTGAACCAAGCCCAAAGAGGTCTTCCGACGCACCAAATTTCAAGGCTAGGAGCGATAACGGCCTCAGATGATCTGATGACCAGCAGATCAATCATCCAGAAGAGGAAAGAAAAGTTAGAAATGCAAGAGAGGTTATGGCGATTTGAGTTTCGAGCGAGACTAATCTCCATTAGGTCTTCCGACAGACTAAAACTGATCCTTGTCTGCCTGTTGACCAATGATTTGGCTGGGGTTTCATCTCGAACTCCAATACCCGGAAGTATATCCGTAGGCCGAGGAGTTGAGCTAGGCTGTATTGGCTCTTGCGATAAGCTAATGCAGCTTCGTTTGATCTGGCTTCAATAGAAGAGAGCGGAAAATGTGCTATAAATTCCGAAAATGTTGTCTCCCTTCAATTCTTGATAGACTACAACTACTCAGCATTCTTCATCCGGGATCTTCACCATGACGCTTCTATCAAAGCCAAGCATCTCAATGGAAGATGTACGAAACACTATCGACACTTACATCAAAGGACTCTCAGATGATCTCTATACTCTGAACAAGCAGGTAAGACTCTGTTAGTATTCACCATTCAAAAGACTCATACCTTTGCCCAGATCCACGACGAACCAGAAATCGCTTTTCAAGAGTTCAAAGCTCAAGCTCATATTTCTGACTTCCTTGAACGACAAGGGCACATCGTTCAACGAGGCGCTTACAACTTACCTACATCCCTCGAGTCTACATATGGCTCCAAAGGCCGATGCGTCAACTTTAATGCGGAGTATGATGCCCTTCCCAGCCTTGGCCATGCTTGTGGTCATAACTTGATTGCTATAGCTAGCATTGCTGCATATCTCGCTTTGACACATACTTTGAACAAGTATGGCGTTGATGGGAGAGCGCAATTACTAGGTACGCCTGCTGAGGAGGACGGCGGAGGGAAGATTCTCCTCCTCAATGCTGGGGCTTACCAGAAGGCTGATCTATCTTTGATGATGTAAGTTGCCATTAGCTTCGCCACCTTTTTTTTAAACCATCTAACGACTACCAGTCACCCTTTTGTAGAAGACCAATTCCGTCCAAAGGGTACAATCGGATCCGCCGGCCAAAGCAGCATCGCAATCGTCGACTTGATCGCCGAGTTTCGCGGCACCAGCGCTCACGCCTCCGGAAATCCATGGGATGGAATCAACGCTCTTGACGCCCTGGTAGCCTCATACAACAACATCTCAATGCTACGACAGCAGATAAAGCCAGATGAGCGCATCCACGGATGCATTCTCCAAGCGCCGAAGATCACGAATGCGATACCAGAGTATACAAAGGTCAAGTTCTCGATCCGAAGTCCAAAGATGAACTCTTTGAAGAAACTAACCCAGCGAGTGCGGAACTGTCTTGAGGCCAGCGGATTAGCTACGGGCTGTGAAGTTGAGATCATGGAAGACTTGGCGTACGCTGATCTCTGGGTGAACGATCCTCTCTGCTCCCTATTCAAGGGCCACATGAACAGTCTGGGTATTTCGTTATCACAAGGTAGTCAACAAGAGAGCATAGGTGGGTCGACTGATATGGGGAACGTCAGTCAAGCCATCCCTGGTCTACATGGGATCATCGGGATACAGGCACCACCGGGCACTTTTCCTCACAACCATGCTTTTGCAGAAGCTGCTGGTACGAAGGAAGCATATTTGAGAATCTTGGGGGCTGCGAAGGGTATGGCTCTGACTGCGTGGTCTGCTATTGTCGATGATAAGGTGTTTGCTGAGATTCAGGATCATTTTGACAACATGAGCAAGATGGATGAGAGCTTGAGTCTATGAATAGAATAAGTAGTTCCAGTAGGGCAGAAATTCACAATCCACCACACGTTCGAACAATTACATTCATGCAAAATGAGTATATTCTTCATATCGAGGAGCTTTCCTTCCCTACAGAACCACTGTTTTGAGCAGAGACTCTTGGAACAGGATGTCGAGCCCTAACGAAAAAGTCTCCTCTGTACCAGCCACTGCAGGGTTCTGTTCTGTCAAAGCTCCAGCAACAGGCGCAAAACCATCGAGAAGTCTTGGTCCCCATGCACGAGAAAGAAACTTCACCACAGATCTCACTGCCCTGCCACCGGCAAAGTGATTCATCGCCTCAACCTGGAGTACGATGAGGTCTTGACTTTTGGTCGTTGTCGTACCGATGCCAAGAACAGTGATCGCCCAAAGCAGGCTTGTAAAGTCAAACCGTACCCTGGCGAGGTGATGAAGTGCTGTTTCGCAAAGGACTACCACTGAAGGGTCTTCAGCACGTAGACATGGGTTCTCAATTTTGGTGATTAGTAGTTCGATGGCCAGTGAGTAGATACTTCTAATGTGGAAACTTTCAGCATTATGGTTGGCACTTGAGACTTCCTGATCGGCGACCGTTGCTATCTGATTGATGTGGCCCAATCCGACTTGGCACTCGTTCAGTCTGCTCCTCAGCTCTCGCAGTCTGGCCTGCATATCATTTGGCGCCACGCTGAGCCGATGATGCAAAAGATGAGAGACCTGGAACAAGATATTGAAAAGCTCGATTGGCAGCCACGCAGATAGTCCTGCTTTTACGAAGCCCCGAAAGTTGGCGTCCGATTCTAGAACGGGTGATCTTGACCATAGGGTTATAATCTTGGAAAGGTCATGGTAATTGCGTAGGTAGCTTGGGCGAAAGACACTATTGATGGCGACATGATAGACCAATGTCTCTAGAATCAGAGCTTGGTGGGTGTTTTGAGGCGGTTGGTCAAGTGCTAGGCATAAAGGTGCTGTGACCGATAGATAGGTCAGAGAGTCGGTAGTAGAGTTTTCGAATCTCTATATATTGATCAGCTTTGGTAGAAGTGGTGGAAGTCGTGTACTCACCTCAAACACATGCAGCAAAAGTAAAGTCGCAATATTGGAGTCCTGAGTAAGACTCTCCTCACTCCGAATACTCAGGCGAAGCTGCTTCAGGGCGTCGCTGTGTTGCTGCAGGGCGTGTATACGCCAGTCAGGTTGAAGCTGCGAAATAATGATAGCCGAACACGCGAGCCAGGCATGCAGCATACTGCGGGAATTAGCCAAGGCTTCGAAACCCTGAGCCAGCATTGAGAACTCTCGGCCTTGATCTAGTCTCGACGTGGCCTGGTCGAGGACCTCGAGCAGACCCGTCATTGAACATGAGGGCAGGCCTTGGAAGCATTCGTTGAAGGCCCCCGTGTTGCTGATGTGTATCGGAGAAGATAGGCGGCTTCCGTTTCGTAGGATTAATTCGTCACTGAGAGATTCTGGCGTGCTGGTTTCATCACTAGAGTCCCCATCCAACCGAGGACTCGGGCTCCCCTCACAAACCCGGGCAAGGAGCTTCCGACTGCGGCGCTCATCATCGCTGCGCCAACTACATGAAACTCTACGGCTCGAACAGCTACCACAAGTTGGGCGGCATTCATCGCATTTCTTCCGTCGACTTCGGCCTACGAGCAGAGTCAGTGATTTTGCCACTATGAGCAGAGGGCAGGCTTACATGGGATGCAACCGCCTGGGGAGCGACGATGCTTCACGCGCTTCTCTGCACGAACCCAGCCCCCTGAGTAAAGTTCAAATTGCGCAAACATCGGCCAGTTGCCGTTGGATCTTGGGAATGTGAAAGGCGAGTGGTAGATAGAGTTACTAATCCGGGATTGCGGGGTTTGGGTAATGCGTTAGACTATGCTATCTCGGGATAGTTCCAGTCTGACGTTAGAAGAAACCAGCCTTAACTAAGAAGTATGCAAGTTCTTACTATTAGAGTTATAAATAATAAAGACAGGGGATTTTTTCACTGTATATAAATTATTCCTTTATTAAATGCTTAGAGATAAAGTGTATAAAAGTGAAATGATAAAATTCAACTCTCTCATCCTGTTTCAGCATGTTGATAAAATCACAATTGTAGGGACTGGTATCAGTACATTGTTGCAGATAGCGCAAGTAAGGATTAACAGCGGTTCGGTTCGGGTCGTTGACGATATACCATAGTGCTAGTCAAGATTAGGTTCACAGTCGAAGAACCTCGGCAACCTTACTCAACTATATAATCCCCGTTGTGCCCCAGAGAGTTGAGAAATATTATGGCTGGAACTCACTGCTCAATAAAAACCTGGCAATTCTAAATAACCACACTTCTCGGAGCATGAAAATGATCCTTAAATACGACCCTGAGTTTCAGGCCGTACACGATGCATTCGAAAAGAATTTCAAGCTTGAGCCTCTGTCTTTAGATTATATCGAGAGCTCTGCTAGAAGACGTGAAGCGTCCATGCAAGCCTTTATCCCGAAACAGGTGGTTCATCCAGACATGGAGCAAGCCACTCACCCTATCGTTACTTCTGACGGCCATGCTATCACAGTCGTCAGCTTTAGAAAAAGAGACCCCCAATCGAGCCCTGGACCAGCTCTTCTTCATTTCCACGGAGGGGGCAGGATAATGGGATCAGCCGAGGGGGGAGCAATGATATTGTCAGCCCTGGTTATGGAAACCTCTATCCCCATCTTTAGTGTCAATTATCGACTTGCTCCTAAATTCAAGGGCCCCATTCCTGCTCTAGATGGCTACGCCGCCTTGCTTTGGTTGCAAAACAGAGCAGATGAGTTCAACGTGGACCCGGCAAGAATTGCCCTCCTTGGCTATAGCGGAGGTGGAGGTGTTGCTGCCGGCGTGGGTTTGATCACCCGTGACCGGAACCTACAGCCTCCTCAAGCCAAGCAGATTCTGATCTACCCGATGCTCGACGACCGCAATCTGGTAGAGAATAAGGGTCTGAAGCCTTGAGCTACCTGGACGTGGGAAGAGAATAAGGTAGGGTGGACAGGTCTTCTTGGAGGTCAAGCAGGAAAACCAGACGCCCCAGTTTCGCAATACGCGGCTCCTGCTTGAGCAACAAATACGGCCAATCTACCACCGACATATCTCGATACTGGAGATCTTGAAATCTTTCGCAATGAGGTCGTCACGTATGCTGCGAGAGTGCTTGCCCAGAACGTTCCTGTTGAGCTCCATGTTTATCCCGGCGTGCCTCATGCGTTTGAGTTGATTGCGCCCAACATCGGAGTCTCGAAAAGGGCTATCGAGAACAAGCGGGGAGCCATGACAGACTTCTAAGGCTACCCCTTTACAGTAATCTTTAAACAAGTTCAGGAAGCAGATGCAACATCTTCTTGGGCTAGGGATAGGTAATAGGCGATAAAGCCGAAATAAATGAAGATTTAGTTTATGCTAACTCCGGTTGAATAAAAAGAATCACAATTTGATTTCTGCCCACTCATTTCTCAAGGTTCTTGGTTCATGGAATCGCACATCTAAGGATTCAATCTAGCCAATTTAAATGCTACCGCACCACTATCCGAAATACATATATACTCCTTTCAGAAACCAATGTGTGATCTCGGCTTTAAACAGGAGAGACATCCATTCTGACCGTCCGCTCCTCACTAAGTTCTCTCTGCTGATCTAATCTCTCATCGAAAAGTCTCAACAGCACAAGTCTATATAGAAACCCGTACCAGCGATTTAACAACCTTTTCTCGATCAGGTTCCAAATCTTGTTCCATTGTTTAGCAACGGCGTCCGAAAATATAGCAAAGGACGCAACGGGAACAGCAATCGCGAAGGAAACGAGACTGAAGATATTTGTAAGTTTCAAGGAGTCTACTAAAACGCATCGTCAGAAACTTACAAATTACGACATGGACCCAGCCGGGGGTTTGGGCAAAGGGTACATCACTCAATGCAAACAGTGATGAAAGGAAGGAGAGTGGCAGCTATAGAATGCTTGTTAGCATGGGGATTATGTTCAGCGAGACTATAAACCTACAAACACGATGGTGATCACTGTAAAGACCATCATGGTTCTTCCTTGCTTCGTAGCCTGGCGTGCCTGATCATTCGCAATTTCAGTCTCAGCAAGATTCAGGATCGTATCCACCTATATTCGATGTTAGCATTGCCGATTCTAAGCCGCCCATGAATGGAAGCCTTGCTTACACTCTCCTGTGTACGCTTGGCTACGTTTTCCATTTCTTCGATGTCCTTCCTGAAGTAGAGCCCCGTAATGCCAACGAACGTTTCAGGATTCCCTGCCATTTCTCTTTGAACAGTCTCTTGAGAATTGACAATGCTGCGTAGGATGTTGAGCTCATCCCGAAGATCTTTGATGTCGCAAGCTAAATCTGAAGCACCTTCAAGGACAGCCTCCAGCTCGTCAGTATTCTTTTTCTTCCGCGATCCTGCTCTATAAGTGACTAGGTCAGGTACAACTCGTGGCTTTTAACTAGAGTGCGGTTCAACGAACAATTCAAGAGACTTCTGAAACAACTTCTTCTCTTTTCTCGCCTGAACAGAAATTAGTCAAATTATGTCTTATTTGGAGAAAGTAGGTGGGACGAACAATGTTGTTGACAGTATCAGAGAAGATCTGGCGAATTGAGCGAGTACGCTTTTCACTCCCGCCATGGCTATTAGAACTCGAACTGTCGATGTTTGGTTCTTCGCTGGCTCGTTTTCTCTCATAGGCATCTACGCAATAGTTGGTGATAAGTGTTGCGAAGCGAGCCGCGAATTTCGGTTGAGATGATGCTTCCGTGATTTGGTCTCGTACGACTGGATTGTTCAAGAAGTCTCTGGGCAAGTCGTCTTCTTGGACTTGGTCAACTGCATGTGATGTGGCGGTAATAACCCACTCTGCGTGGAAAGAATTAAGCAGCCGGGCCAAGAGATGAGATGGGAGATAATCTTGTCCAACTTACCATCCAGAAGGGTCCAAACCCAAAGCTGCTTGACTCTTATCAAAGTGAAGGCGTGCTCGGACTCTCCCTTCTCCCCCTTCAAGTATTCTGTGACAACCTGAGTCCTGTTACGGTCATCTTGGTCATCTCTAGACTCTTTTTCTGGCCCAAAATGATAATATGATTCATCCAGAGTAGCAGATCGGTGAAGTGCATCATCTTTGTGGACCTGCTGCAGCTTTTCGTAGAGAAACTCCGCCTCCTTCTGCACATTAGTAGTTGGGCTGACAGTATACTTGGAGAAGGAAAAATATGGCATCTGAAGGTTTGTTAGCTCGAGAAACTGTAAGATGATAAAACGCTCACATAAGCTGCAGAGATGGTGGGTTGTATCGACGTATTCTGTTCTTGGATCCTCTTGAGCTTCGTCTTGCTGTTGGTAACTTTACCATCACCAGGAGTCAGACCTGGGTTAACTCCGTCAATATCTGAAGTCAAACTTGGGTCAACCGTCTCCAGAGCACCAGTTCCACCGCTCTGTTTGGCTACGTAGAGAGGCCTCATGAATCGTGAATCAGATGTACGATCAGGAACTTGAACCCAACTGCTGCGTAAGAACGACGCAGTACTATTTTTGTCTCTTAGGGATAATTCCCTTTCGTTCAAAATCCTCTTCATAAGGTCCTACAAAATGTCAACATTTACCCGTATCTTCTACGTTTCTTTAAATGCTGACACCTACTTCCATCCAAACAATCTGTATCCAATTAGCTATTATCTCGATATGCTGAATAGAAGAGATGCAATACGTTAGTCAACGGTAAATGGATCCATTTTAACTGTGCTGTGATCTTCGTATCGTCCTCAGTCTGTGGATAGTTAAACCATCTGTCCATCGTCTCCTTAGTAATTCTTCCTGGACCTTTCTCATGAATCACATCTTGGACAGGTCGCGATTCTTTGATCCATTTTGTTTCGCCCTCGATTCCACCTGAGAGGAATTGGGTGATGGCAGCTTCAAATCCGGGCGGTATCTCGTGAAGTCCTTCTCGCGGCTTTACTGGTTTGAATATATTTCGTCTGTAAGTTTCTGCCACGATAAAGTCGTTCAGGTAGTTTTGCATGTCGGATAGGATCATGTCCTCTCTGTCTGGCTTTCGCTTGTCTTGCTCAACCCTAGGCTCAGTCCGTATGAGCTTGTTTGATTTCTTCGAAATTCTCTCTGGTGCAAGTAAGTTCTTTGCAAGTTCTCGAGCTTTCTCAACCAGTTCAAGGGCCTCTGGTGTCGCAGGAAAGTTTTCGATGAGAATCCAGAGTACCCATGGCAGTCTTGAGTGAACTGCCAACTCAAAGACGCTAGAGTCCTCAGCGTCAATGCCATCGAATACGTCATTCGACGTTATAGTTTCTATCAGCTTTCGAAATACTTTACTTCGCTTTGATCCTTTTGCAGCCCACTCCAGTGCATCCCTTTGAGTATATCCAGAGATCACACGTTTGACAAACAGTTTTGTGATGCTATCAAGCTGGTTCTGTTGGTTGGTGGCCTGGTTGAAATCAAAATCCTCGAACGCCGACTTTCCAGTGACATCTGTCTCTAGAAAAAGCTCAGGATCCGCTTTTTCGACAGCAGTTTCAATAATAGGCATCTTTCCAGACTCTACTGCGTAGTGAAGGGCCGTACGTCTGCGGTAGTCATGGAGATTGTAACTCGCACCGGCAGAACCTAAGGCCTCAACCCCCTGTCTCCAAGCCATCTCACACGCTACCATGAGCGGGGTTTTTCCATCATTGTCGCGGGTGTCGAGATGGGGGGATGTTTCTGATTCCACCGTTTTTAGCTGGATCAGCTTATCCATCATACTCTTATCTTTAAACGACACCGCCATCATTAATGGCGTCCAGCCACCGTTATCTTTGATATTGGTAGCCGCGCCCTTTTGGAGACAGGCAGTGACCATTAGTTCATTGCTGCACATGATGGCCAAGTGCAGGGGAGTCGTGCCTTCCATGTCAGTTTTTCCGACAAGTTCGGGGCACTTTTCGATGATGATGTCGAAAGCTGCTACATGGCCATAGACGATAGCTATATGAAGCAGATTTTCGCCAGAGCTGTCAGCCAGCGTGGGGTCAGCGTCATGGCTGAGTAGCTCATCAATCACTTCTGTGTGACCCTTTGAGCAAGCAAAATGTAGTGGCGTCCATCCATCTTCGTCACCGACAGATGAATTCGCCGCGCCTTCGTCGAGTAATTTCTTGACCACACTTCTAAAGCCATTGTAGGCTGCGATATGGAGAGGGGTTCTATTTCCATACTCTGGACAAGGAATGTTGACCATGCCCTTCAACTCATTCCATTCAGGGTTGAGTTTACTCATCGCATCGGCCTCGTCTGACGCTTTGTCGAGCAGTTTGTACAGGGTATTTGAGCCCCCATCGTTGTTTCGATTGCCTGTACCGCTGTCCTCGTGTCCATTGTTGATAGATGTCCTGGCTCCGGCGAGACGTTCTTCGCTAGCGAGGGTTCCCATCGGCTGTCGCTGAGTTTCTTCCTGTCCAGCAGTCAGATCGCCGTGGGGTGGTCTGGCGGACACGTGTTGGGACATATTCAGACGCAGAGGCAAAGAGTCGGATTTAGAAGGAGAACAATAAGTCTCAGGAAATATTTGGAATGCGAAGTTGACATTGAGCGCTAATTAATGAGGGATCTATTCTTATAGGAATATGTCGAGATAAGGGCTGCGAATGAACGAATACGCTTGCCTCGCGACGATCTCCTCGACTTTTACGCTTTTGGTAATTTCGAGCAAGCCTGCATCATCCGATGGGAGCTGAAAAGCAGGGTAACCAATACTTTGGATTCATGCAGAAATTCATTGCCTTGGAATATTGGATTTGCTTCTGCAGCCTGATCTTGGCATCACATCCCAACCATTTATGGCGGTCCTCAATCCAACCAGGGTATGAAAGAAATAAAAGTACAGGCGGAATAGTACACCTACCCCACCTCGTATATGCATATAAGCTTCAGCTGCGGCGACCAAAGTTGAGACGTACCTCAGCCGAACTCTGAAAACTGCGAGATAACGAACGGAAACGGAGGTCATATCATCCCAACGACCCGATTGGTGATTGCGTTCCCGAGTCAGGCAGAACCCACGAGCTACAGCGTATCCTCGGAAATAGCTCGTTGGAAAACTATATACGAGCTAGCTTGTCTAGCTTGCCATAGGTCAAGTCCTGTGCTATAGTCTTCTCTACTGGCAGGGGGTCGGCGCTCAGCCTGAACTCGGTTCAGGCTCAGGCGCTCTCAGGTTAAAGCTGTATCAACTCTAGCAATAGGCGGGAAATTAGATGCAATGTATCTTGGTCTGTGTCATATATAACCTGTCATTTATAGGCGAGGGCTGAGACTGAGAGCTTATCTATTAATAGAGAGGAGAATTTGCCAGAGGTCTAATTTCATCGAAGAGCTAAAAATGGGATTTTTATTTACACAGACAGATGCTCTCAAGTATATTTCCCTCTCGAATTTGATCTCTTTGAATATCTCCGCCATTATCTATTTCGCCAGCTCTAAAGTTTACGCATGGAAGAAATCCGCTTTAGCAAAGAGATAGTAATAAATTATGTATATGGGAGGATAGGGGTATAAAAAGTAGGGTTATAGACTCAGAGTCTTGAGTGATATCGGCCGATTCTGGCATATTCATGAAGTAACAATCGCAAGGGTCGGCACAAGCATCTGTTACAGATAGCGCAAATGATAACAGTTCGAACTCGAACAAAACCTATGTGAGCCGATACCAGAGACCCTTGATTGGATGGTTGGAAAGTATGAGTGACAATTACCACCAGTTCGGGTCGGGTGGTGTTGACGACATACCATAGTACTAGTCAACATATTTTAACTGATATCAAGAGAGAGAGAAACTCATTTAAAACCATAACCTTACTACATACGAGCTCAACTATCTGCAGACAGTGGCTTGCGGCCCCAAACCGCTTTCATCCTAGAGTATGCATGATGATTCACGTCGCGAATTTCACGACGGAATTTGGCGATAAAAACGTGGAACTCTTCGGCTGACCATCCAGCCATATCAGCCATCAAGGTCAAAAATCCTTCAGAATCTTGGGTGCTGAAGTATTGTGCAAACCCTCCGATTTCTTTCAAAGCAGGGTCTTTTGGCCAGCGATTCAAGGGGCACTAGTATCGTTAGTTAAATCCAGGCGAATACAATCTAACACATTATCAATTGTGACCTATCTCACCTTGAAATTCCATTCCTGAATGTCTTGAAATCCGGCGGCTTCCATAGCACTCTTCTGGGTTCCATCCTCAATAACAGTAAAGGATCTGCCTACCGTTTCTGCAGCCTTTATAAAGATGCCTCCCCACTGAGCCATAGCTGAGTCGGGTAAGACCGTGTCGTCATCGCTCTCTATGCTTGGTGAAGCCTCAAAGCTTTCCAAAAAGCCACCTGGCTTCAGAGCCTTCCAAGCCTGTCGGAATAGCTCGTCCCAATCAGGGATGCATCCAACAAGGTAGCGAATATGAATATAATCAAAGGTGTTTGGCGGAAATGTCCATTCCAGAGTGCAATCATCTATCTCGCTATAGCGAATAAGAAGTAAGACAGGAGACCGTTAATGGACAGGAATGGCTAACTGACAATTTCAAGTTGGGCGGTACAAATGATGGCTGAATTGGCGAAATATCCGTACCAGTCACTTCGCAACCTGGAAATTCGTCGGCAAAATCACTGCCAAGAGGGATGATAAGCAAGTCTTGGTATATGAATCTATACCCGTGCTTACATGGCCCATATTCCTGTAGATTTGAACGATTAGGATATTCTCGAGACATTGGAAGCACATCCACATACCAGTTCCACAACCAACGTCGAGTGCTGTCTGTATGAAGATGTGAGCAATACAATTAGCACTTTCTTAGTAGGGCAAGAGTGCTTGACGGTGACATACCTGGATGTCGTCGGAAATTGGGGCTTGAAACAACTTGCCGTTTTGTGCAAGCGTCCACATATGATGGCTTTGAGGAACAACTCATCAGACAGTATCAAACAAGACGAACGAAAGAAACTTACACGACGTCCATTGCATCATTCTGAGATTGGTCGTTGGCCCCCCTTGCATGTCGTCTGATTAACCCAGATATCATTGTTAATGGACGCAATTACGCACCAGTAGAAGGCATCTCCTCTTTCACTATGATACGTTCGTCCTCGAATCGTCCTATATCTCAGAATGCTCGAAGTGATGGAGGCTGTAGAATCGGCCCTATCTTCTCCGATCGCAGAGTCTGCGTCATTGCTGGCAAGATCATCTTGATCCGAATCTGCATGATCTGCCATTTCTTCTGAAATGTTATGCTCTGGAGGGACATCGTCTACTATTTCTGTGTTGCTGCTACTTAGGATGGTAGCTGGGGCCGGACAGGGATTGGTAGGAGTGTTCGACATGGCTGATTGCTCGTTTGATAGCCCGTAAGGTTACTAGTTTGATAGAATAGCCGCCGGTTGAAGAAGCATAAGGTGAGATAGAAGATCCTCTAAATTAAAGAGATGAACCTTTTTCCCCTCAATTGGATAAGGAAAGTGGCAGAGAATCCGGGCAGACTGAAAGAGTTTGTGGCTGCGCCACCATGCACACTAAACAAGCGACGATAAAGACACGGAATTGTTTGCTCCTCAAGTCCAGTCCGACAGGGAAGTTGATAAAGTATGGCTTTTGCGTGTCGTACAAAGGGAGGCGCTTTAGATATCATACATCTGTAACAACTTCAGGCCCTGGCCATTAGAGTTGAGAGCGGGAATACAAGTTCTCATTGCATCTTGGCTTACTTTTGTATTCCATGTTGAAATAGCTTCTATGATACGTGTTTGATCGAAGTTGCAATTAGTGTGCAATTGTGGAATGACGTGGCCAACACTGACTGTTGGTCCGTGTTATCAAGTATGTACAGCACCTAGCGACAGTACCACTCGTTCACTTGCTCCCTGTTATTTCTGCTTAATTGTTCCACGCGGTATTATTTATTATCGTATGATCAAGGCCGTGGACGCCCAAACAGGCCCGCGCTAGACTAAGACTCGTAAGGAGGAACGCCTATAGGTACATTACCTATCATATTATTGGTATAGTGACTCCTACCTTATCCTTAGCGTTGCCGCCGGGGCGGTAGCGGCCGCTGCCGTGGCCGTCGCAAAGCTTAATTTTGCTTTGCCCAAAGAAACGATAATCTCGAACATGAGCAAGATGGGCCCCCGCCCTCACTTAACACCCGGCGACCGCAGATATCATCAAAGACATCCCGTTGGCTTGCCCCGGTCCACTTATGGCTGCCTCTTCTTGTTCTCGTTGAGCTCGTCTGGAGTTTGATGACGCCGATTGAACCGATTGAACTCCCTAGTAGCAACAGCCCTAGCTTTGACCAACATTTCCTACTCATAATGCTCCTAGAGCAGCAGCAATGACATGGCGTTTGTGTGTTCGTATGTTACTGTCCTTCCTTCAGGGTCTTTTTATTCTGATTACAGCGAACTGGTAAGCACCTGATTAGTTTGTTTAGTGGGCTTGACTTATCCCTATTCGTATTTCATTCGTATCCACAGGAATATCATTGCCGTTGGCGACCCCCTGACCTCTGCTGATAAGTTACCCTTCCTCATTGGCCTCCCAATTGGATTTGTTCCAGCTACGGTTGTCCTGCTGACGCAAGGCATTGCCGACTTGTCACTGGAAGACTTGGACAACCTCCTCCACTGCTTCTATCAAGCGGACGACGACTGAGATAGCCATTTTTTGTGCTTTGTTGTCTTTGCCAATCATGATACAATCAGCTCCCAACTGCCATAAGGACCCGTGTATCGATTGTAGTCCTTTGGTAGAAAATGAGTTGCCCCGTTCGATCAAGCAAAGCTGGAACTTGTTGCTCTGACGAAGGGATCCTACTTTGGCACTGCCAGTGAGGAAGCTTTCTCCAGATACTGACGCAGCTTTTGTTGCTTTGCTCGTTCAGTCACCGTCCCAAACGCGAGTCCCTGTACCAGTCTTCTTATTTAGGCTCTACCTTGCTCTCCGTCTCAGTTAAAAGCCCATGGCAGCATCAGATATTTAGACGCAACAACAGCCGATGCATACCCAACCCAAGCCATAGCCGTTCCCTCCCGTCTCAAATTCACACCGTACCCCGAGCTACCATTGAATTGTCTCAGAGTCGGAATCAAGGACAATATCGATATCACTGGCGTCAAAAAACAAATAGTTGCCTCTTCTTTAGCCTATGGTGAAGATTGTTGACATGACGGTAAAATCGCTGAAGGAACTTGGCGTTCCCCAGATTGTGCTTATGGGCCGGACCCCTTTCAATCAATATTAATTGATCGCTCGAGAGGACTGAAGATGGAATTGCCGAGATGGTTACTCTGGAGAATGGCCTCTTAAGATTGCTCTTTCTCCATCGAGTAAAAGCTTGCGCTACGTGTCTCCTGAGTGTCTTGGCCTCGAATCAGTCGGCCCAATTCCCATTGGAATCGTTCCCGTAACCCTAGAGTCTCTTTGCCGAGGCAAGCCAACAAGTTTGGAACGAACTACCTGACTTTGACTAGCGAGCAGAATATATTCATAAAGACCTGCTTGCCACCTGTGAGGAATTCGACAGATGCGCGCGTCTCCTAAAAGTATATCCTGGCAGTGCTGCGTTAAAGAGAGCGGTTGAGGAGTTCTATCAAGAGGTGGTCAAGTTGTTGGGCTTCTCGGAAAGTATCCAGCGACGTGTGTCAAGCCCGTTCTATGCCAAGTTCGTGGTGGAATAACACTGGAGACCATGGTTCTTTGGATGCTGAAGTTAACTCAACGCCAGTCTCCGTCTCTCCAACTCCTCGGCAGCATTTCAAAGACCAATCCAATGGCTACTTTGTACAGAGCGAGAAACTTTTAAAGAGCATATACAGAGAAGCAAGCACGTTAGTTCATCAACCCCATCCTGGGCAGCGACACATTATTCCCAAATCGAACGAATTCCCGATTTGCCTCCCGGGACCTTGTTTCACATTTCATGTGAATGCCATTTGATCCATGGCCTATTGCTACCATTCGTTCTCGGAATTCAGAATAATCTGTCTATTTGCGATCTACAAATAATGAAAGAGCGTGAATGGAGGCATAAGCAGCAATCGAACTCCTTAGTAGAGCACTTGAATCCAACTATAGGATATCAGTAGCCAACTAATTTACTCAAACGAATACTTGTTCATCATAGTGCCCTTACAAACACCACGGCCAATGATTATTTTAAGCTTCAGTATAGTGCCAAATACGTCCAAGCTGTCTGATCTGTCCAAGTACCATACCGGCTGATGCTACGTCCAGAGTTGGGTTTAAGAGTACAGCGGTACAAGCGATGTTTTGATTGGCCGAATGCAGCGTCTCTACACTGGCGGGAGTAGCCAACCGTCATGGTTGCCTCAACCAACAGCCTACTAGACCTGGAAGCGTTATTCCCAACTTCTCTTATTCCCCTCCTCATCGCGTTCCTCTCTTCTTCGCATTTTCACCCGCACCACCTTCCTCTCTTTCTTCGGCAATTTCGCGAGCATAATCATGTCCGAGTTCGCAGGTGATGATAGCGCTGATGATGCGGCATCCGTCGCCTCCGATGAGTCCTGTCGGTTTGAGACGGTCCAGATTAGCGACACGGAGGAGCCTGAGTTTTATCGAAAAGACGGCTTCCACCCAATCCATATCGGCGATCACCTCGATGGGGGGCGGTACCGGATTATCCATAAGCTTGGTCATGGCGGCTTTTCCGTCGTATGGCTAGCTCACGACTCCTTAAAGTCTATTTAAATAGCCCTAAAGATTATGACAGCTTCAGACTCCTCTATGATGGAAGAAAAAGCAGTCATGTGCAACAACATCATTTCTAGGATGAATGACGAGAGATTCATCACCTATAAGCGCTTCTTTCACATCGACGGGCCTAATGGCCGCCATCTATGTCTAGTCCTACCACCTTGTGGTCCTTCTTGCAACACCATGTCCCAATACCTACAGAGCAGGATTCATCCCTCGCTGGTGCGTCGAGTGTCTTCCCAAGCTACGAAAGCTATCGCAGATCTTCATTCTCAAGGTCTTTGTCACGGAGGTAAGCCGCGTTTCTGCCTTCCTGCCTTCACGTTCCTGATTTTCTATAGATTTTACCCCGAGCAATATCGTGTTTCGCATCCGTAACCTTGATCATCTTGATGAACAAGGTATACACCATCTTTTTGGCGAACCTCAACGCGATAGCTTGAGAACAATTTCTGGTGAACCTACTGGCGCAGAAGCGCCTCGGTATATCGTTGGCAATCTCGACTTCACGTCAGCAGAAGACCTCATACTTGATGATGTCTGCTTAATCGATTGTGATCAAGCATTTTTGACCGCTGCTCCCCCGAGGAAAACACTTGGGACACCTCCAGGCTTTCTGGCGCCTGAGGTGGCAGTTGGAAACCCGGCCAGCCCTGCAAGTGATGTTTGGGCTTTGGGCTGTTCTATCCTACAGATCAGATCAGGCTCATCTCCTTTCTCAATTCCCAACGTCGATAGTCCAGCAAACCTGCTTGGATGGGTCAGCGAGTACCTTGGCCGTATGCCGGTATCATGGGGAGAGCCGCTGTTCGACGATGATGGCCTACCAACCACGGACGCGATTAATGGTGAGCCCCTAGGCGAAGTGCTCGAAAACACGAGATCGCTCACGCAATGGATCAGAGATATCTGGGATCAACCAGAGAATCTTGAGGAGCTTCAATCAACATCAACTACACCAGAAAGAGTTAGGGATGAGAATAAGCCATATCTGGAATGTTACAGCAACAAATTTTGGAAACCTGCCGCGATCAGAATCGACAATGTCTACCTTGGAGCATACTCTGACAAAGTTGATAAGATCATTGAGTCACTGCCGAAAATACCTACGAACGAGGCTGACTTGTTACATGATTTGATATCCAAGATTTTTGTTTACGAGCCTACACAGCGAGTGTCTGCAAAAGATATCTTGGCTCATCCATGGTTTCATTTGGACGACAGGATATGAAGATCTGCTTCCAGCCTCTTGAAGAATGTGATGGGATAATAGTTAGAGGAATCAATAGACGAAATACAATCACAGATTCGGAGCGACACGTTGTGTCAGTACAAGTCCTGTAGTCTACAGCACCCGGTGGTTATTCCCGGAGTGTCGTGGTCTAGAGGCCGGCTCTGAGCCGGCGGGTAAGCTTCCGGCCTGGTCTGGGGTTGCCACGCCGGGATATCGAAGATCTTATTCATGCAGTCGTCATCAAAATAAGGTGACTATTGACCGATATACGGATCGTCTCCGTTTTCGGTGTGGCTCATCAGCAAAAATTCTCGAGATAATCCTCAAGGATGGGAATGTTGTGCTCGCAATGCTCCAAGCTCCTCCGGCTTCGCTATTGGTGGGGTGACAGTAAGACGATGGGAACGGAGTGAGCGAATTGCCCCTGAGGTCGGTGCGATTGAGCGAGATGAAAGAGTACTTTGGAATATATACAAACAATTGAATGCACAAAGTATTCATCCTTTCCAAATGTTCGGTCAAGAGTCAATGGTAGCATTCGTGGAATGTTGACCGTCCTGTCACACGATACGGTCACGTGCTTTGACCAAGATCCTGAGTCATCAGAATCACCCCGCCAAAATCTTTGACCCCTCCAAAATCTCGGGCTCAAATTGGGGCAACGAGACCTACTTCTACCAGACGCCTCCCACTCCGTTCCTGCATAGACGAAGAAGCGATCGAGAAAGAGTCCTACAGACGCATACGAACGAGACCAAGCTTCAGCACACGATTGTCACAACGAACACTCTACCCGACAAACCTCCCCTCCTCCAACCCCGCCATCATGAGCTTCGACGCTGAGAGCGCGGCTCCAGTGCTCGCCACAGCCGACTTCAAGACTCTCGGTCCCTTGGCCGCTGATCTTGACAAGCACCTCACTCTCCGAACCTACCTTGGAGGCTACACCCTGAGCGAGGCTGACGAGAAGGTCTGGACTGCTCTCCGCACCAACAAGGTCGCCATTGGCCTCGTCCGAAAGGGCGCCTACGCCAACATCACTCGATGGTTCAAGTTCATCGAGGATGCTCACCCTGAGCTGAAGGAGAAGCTTAACTCTGGCAAGGAGAAGCGCGTTGGCGGTGCCAACTACAACATTGGCCTCCAGAACACTGAGAACGGTGTCGTGACCCGTTTCCCTCCCGAGCCCAGGTATGTTCTTCACCGAAACACGCATCGCGTGACTGTACTAACATTTCACAAGTGGTTACCTTCACATTGGTCACGCAAAGGCCGCTCTCCTCAACGATTACTTCGCCAAGACTGCCCCCGATGGCAATGGCAAGCTCCTCGTCCGATTCGACGACACAAACCCCTCCAAGGAGAAGCAGGAGTTCGAGGACTCTATTCTCCACGATCTCGAGTTGATGGACATTAAGTACGTCTCCGTCACTCACACCAGTGACTACTTCAAGGAGCTCTACGAGATTGCCGAGCAGATGATCCTCGACGGCAACGCATACGCGGATGACACCGACCCCGAGATCCAGAAGGATGACCGCAAGAACCGCCTTGCCAGCAAGCGACGTGACCGTCCTGCTGAGGAGAGTTTGGCCATGTTCAGAGAGATGAAGAACGGTACCGACCTCGGCCGAAAACACTGCATTCGCGCTCGCATTGCCTTCGACTCAAGCAACGGCTCCATGCGAGACCCCGTCATCTACCGATTCCCCAACTGGAAGGGCGCCGAGCCCGCTCCTCACCACCGAACCGGCTGGGACTGGAACATCTACCCTACCTACGATTTCGCCTGCCCTGTCGTCGACAGTCTCGAGGGTGTCACCCACGCGCTCCGAACGACCGAGTATGCCGACCGCAACGAGCAATACCACTGGTTCATCGACAACCTCAAGCTCCGCAAGGTCAACCTCTGGGAGTTTGCCCGTATCAACTTTATCCGAACATTCCTTTCCAAGCGAAAGCTCACCAAGGTTGTCGACACCGGCCGTGTCAGCGGCTGGGATGATCCTCGCCTGCCTACCGTCCGCGGTATCCTCCGTCGCGGTCTGACCGTTCCCGCTCTCCGTGAGTTCATGTTGAAGCAGGGACCTAGCCGAAATATCGTCACCATGGACTGGACGACTATCTGGGCTATCAACAAGCGAATGCTCGACCCTGTTGTGCCCCGATATATGGCCATTGAGGAGAAGGACGCCGTTACTGTCACCGTGACTGGCGGTCCCGAGAAGTCATACAAGGAGGACAGACCCAAGCACGTCAAGAACCCCGACGTTGGTACCAAGCAGGTTACATTCGGACCGAAGCTTCTCCTCGACCAAGCCGATGTTGCTGAATTCGCCGACAACGAGGAGATCACCCTGATGAGCTGGGGTAACGCCATTGTCCGCGGCCTCGACAAGTCCGCCTCACCCATCAAGGACCTCAACCTCGAGCTGCATCTCGCTGGCGACTTCAAGACCACCAGCAAGAAGGTCCACTGGCTAGCGGCCGACCCCGAGAACCTTGTCAAGGCCGAGCTCTGGGACTTTGGCTACCTCATCACCAAGGACACGCTAGAGAAGGATGACAACCTTGACGACTACTTGGCCGAGACCACCGCCTGGAAGGTCGATGCGCTGGTCGACGCTAGCATCGCCGGCCTCAAGGAGAATGACTTTATCCAGCTGGAGCGCAAGGGATACTACCGCGTGGACAAGGCTCTGGGCCAAGGACCCGACGGCCGAGCTGTCCTGTTCAAGGTCCCCACAGGTGGCCAGAAGGGTTAAGCAGGCTAAGCTAGTCAAGAAAACAAAAGGGCTGGGGGATTTATGACGTCTTGTGATTTGACGACGGACATGTAGTTATGAAAGACAAAGTACCGTAGTAGAAATGCGAAAAAGAGGAAAAGATCCGGACCATCATGAAGTCCCTCTCACAGCGATGCTCAGCTTTGCATGCAGGATATGTCACGCTGTTCCTTTCGCGATGATGATTCGCTCTGCTGCGAGGGTTTGATGTCAGCGCTGATGCAGATCCACCAAAATCGGTATACTCCTGAACACTATAGGGAAATCCCTGCAGAAAAGAGTGCTTCTCAATGCGCATATCAGAATGCACAGTGAGATTTGAACTGCAGGCCTGAGGATACGAGAGGGGGCGGGTTGATCGACCCTGTAATCAGCTACACGAGAGGGGAAATGATGGTGCGATTAGTTTCTCCACATTAGGCGGAGATATTCTAGAAGATGATCGATTATGACGTCTGATATGTGAAGTGAAGTGAAGTGAAGGAACTCGGACGTAGGTAAGGTACCTATTGAAGATGGATGGATGGAATGAGAATTGATGAGATGTTGGATGCACGGGGAATACCAGACCCCTAAGAATAGAATATAGAACGGTTCTAGCGCGTCGAATGCGCCGCTAACCCCGCCGTAGCAGTCAGCCCAGAAGGGCTGCTCCCGCATCGTGGCGTAGAAAAAAACGGTCTCGATCTTTCTCAATGCGGTGAAAGGATTCATTACTAACGTCGGGCATTTACAGTAAGGAACATGACTGAAGGTAACGTGAGATTCGAGTAATACGAGATGCTGCATCGAGCGATGGACCATGGGCCATCTCCACAGTTTCTGACGTAGAACAAGACGGAAAGATCGGAAATACTGTATGTAGCTACCCAACGGAAGAATTATTTGATCAGGTTGTGCTATTTTGGTCCTTTTTTGCGGGGATGGGACCTGGCCTGGCGATATCTCACAGCAAAGCACCTCTCAATACGAGAGCTTCTACCTCAATTATGTCCAAATACAGTGAATCACGAGGTAGCAATTAAAAGAATCATACTACCGTTTTATGCTTCTTCTGTGTCGCTTTATGCTTATGCATAGTTTCTACGCCTCCCGCTGCGGTGCGGTGCGGTTCATCGGCTGATGTCGGTGGATGCAGCTTTGGGAATACGAGATCCAGCTTCGGCCTGTCGATCACCTCGTGTTGCTCAACGCACGAGGTCTCTACTGCAAGGGAAGTTGAAGCTGGAGCTCGCGGTGAGCTATAGCACGGATCAGTATAGCTTGTGGGACTGGGCTTAGAATAGATGGAGGTTCTCTATGTCATAAGTTTAGACCAGCAGTGTAGAAACATCTATATAAACAGCCCTCATCCTTCTCTCTTCTCATCCCATCTCATCATCACAATCACACACTCCTCTTCACACAAATAAAACCACTTTCACTCCAAACAAACCACTACAAACACACTCAAAATGAAGTTCTCCGCCGCCGTCTTCACCCTCCTCGCCGCCACCGGCGTCACAGCCGCACCCGCCGCTGAGAGCGTCAGCATGATGGCCTCAACCCCCCAGTGGACCATCCGCGACGCCAAGCGCTACTGCCGCTCCGACGACTCCATCTGCAACTGGAAGTTCGGCATCGACACTGGCAACGGCAAGCCCTACGAGTGCCGCTACGACGTCAAGGGCCCCGGCGCCAGCAAGAAGCGCAGCGCCGGTCCCAGCACCTGCGGCGACTTCACCATCACCTCTGGCTGGAGCGACCAGTTCGGCGCCAACAACGGTTTCACTACCCTGTCTGTCGTGTCCAAGTCGAAGCGTCAGATCATCTGGCCTGCTTATACCGACAAGCAGCTTGCTGGTGCTAAGATTGTCAAGCCTGATCAGTCTTATGCCCCTGCTTCTCTCCCCAAATAAGCGAGCAATACTGAATTGAGATGGATTGGGGGATTGGAGATTGACGTATAATAATTGTTTGTACATACTTGAAATAAGGAAAGGCTTGGGGTTACAATACATAAGCACATTGACGCCGTTTGTCAATCATTGGCCAATTATTCCCGAAGTAAAAGTGTGACATCCATCGCGTCGTCGGCCGAGTGCCGGCGGGCTTTCGGCCGGACGGTTCGGCACCTTGTAACGCAATTATCATTGCACCACATGAGCATGCGCAATAATAACAGCCAGTATAACATTCCAGATAGTGCAACAGGTAAATGTTGACAGCGAGCCGCGAATTATTGGATCAATCCTCTGTGCCTTGTGACCGAAATGTTTGTCGTGCCAAAGTTTCCTCGCTTGATTTGCAGAAACAACATTGACCCAACGCTTCTCGTTCACAGTCAGTGTTACAGCAATGCCTAATTAGAAAACATGCGTCGAATGAATTCCCTGCAGTATTTCCGACCAATAACCATCAATAGCATCCCATTAAGTTGCCTTTGGTCAACTTTAGGGCCACCGCTTGACACCAACTTGAGCTTAGGTGTCTAAAAGCCCGGTTACCCTACAGATGGCACTTTTCTAATTGTTGCCCGTTGGGTGTTGCCTTTTTGTACGATTAAATGACAAGAAGCTTCTCAGTTACATTCATATATTGAATTAAACACATGACAATCGGATTGTTTGTGTTCAGAGATTGTGGCTACCAGTTTCATTCAGACACAATCTGTGCTTCGCAATTTTTATCCGTGTCGCACATAACGGATGCGCAGATGGTGTATTCTCACGAAGAAACGTTAATTATGTATGGCCAATCAATACCCGCACTCTAACAACGAATTTACTCAAAAGCCCTCTTACATACTCGCCTTTGTCGTCGTTGGCGCATCTAGCGGTTTAGTGTCTAAAGATCATTTGGTGCGACGATTGAAGGTGCTGAAGATCCCCGCCCAGAATTTTAGCTTCCCACTGGAAAACAACGGAACTCGAATGCGTCGCCTCATCTCCCAGCACAAAACCGCCCGGAAGATGTCAGGTTTGTGTCACTTTCTGATACGTGAGGATGCCAGAAAGGCAAGGCCAATGCTACACACTTTGCACCCGCAGACTGTTCTGGCCGTTTCCACAATTGATGCGCGTCCAACCGTCGGGAACCGATCACCTAGTAGCCTTGCACACGCAATTCTAGAAGCCTGTGCTGGAACTCACCACGATGAACAATGTGGCTGCACAGTGAAGTTACCCAACCTCCAAATGCTGGCGAAGTTGACGCCGTGGCGGGAAACAACATCACATTTTAATCCCGCGACAGAAGCACCCAATTGCAAACAAGCGCCAACGTTAACACAATGAGGCCTCTCCCATAGCGAAAAGACGCGTCGACATATTATATACTCACCAAAAAACGTAAATTAAGATCGTCGAAATAAAGTCAATTGAGGCGTTCGCCAAGCTGAAACAAGATGACGCCGGGCTCACCAACTCAGAAACGGTAGTAAAACCCAAGACCAGCGACACGCGTATGCCTTAGCTTGGCGCGTGCCAATTGACTTTCCCCCCTTCTCTACCAGAGAAAAGTTACACAGCGAGCCCGTTGCTGGGATGCATACATAGCCACACGGGTATTTTATACGAGCGCGAGTGACAGTTTTGGCATGTGCAGTCCTAGTGTTGTGATGAGCCGGGACGCTCGGGGGGAAAATGTCATGCTGTTTACTCCGCCAAGTAATGACGGTCTGCCAAGAAGCCCCTTTGATCAAAACTGGGCATTAGCATCACGAGGCCTAAGCACCAATGCAAGAAACCAGTTTTTCTACATTCAATAAAACGAATATGTCTATGAATATGTCTATGACTGTATTAACAGCTCACTCCTCATTCCAGCATCTCCCATGGCCAAAATATGTCTCGCGTGCACCCCAAACCTTGATTCCTTGCAGTGACGGTGTTTCAGTGGTCGCGGAGGAAGAATAAGGTAATATTTAAGCATACCAGGGGCTGGACCAATAAACCCAGCGGAGTGGGTGGATTTGGCGCATTAAAGTTTAGCGCCCTCCCTCTGTGAAAGGGGGGAAGCTTTTAGAAGAGTACTTTGTAACTGTCATAGATTTGAGGGGTGAGGAGAGTATATTGTTATCGTGCAGGGGCTTGCGTGGCCCGTTCAAATCCTGCTCTAGCACAGGAGATCTTGGCTCTTCTTTGTTATTGTGATGGACCTCACTTTCGTCTCATCCATGGGTCATGATGTCTGTCTAACGAGTTCTCCTATACTGCTTGTCTTGACTTCAATTCACTTCATGCAATTCATCATGCACTGCAAATCAGGTCCATCCCCATTCAAAATGTCAATTACGTGGCTGCCCCCTCGCCAAGACCCAACCATTTGCCAATAAAGCCATGAGTAAACACCCCATGTCACTGGCGTCTTGGCTCTTCAACCTTCTTGTCTCGTCGATAGGCCTAAAACCCGCCAAGGAAATATACCTCTTGTCGCAGCGCCTGCACTGCCCCGATGCCCAGAAACTTGGCTCGTACCAATAAACTTGCCAGTGCTATTTTATCTCCCCCCTTGTTTTTGTGTGTGCCTTTGTACGTACGTAGTAAAGAATAGATCCCCGGCTTTCCGTCCCACCTTTGATCTACCCAGATCTCTCTTCTGTCGGCTTTCTTTCTTTTGCATTCGCTTTTTTGCCGTAAACTTTGACATCGAAAACGCTCGTTTTTATCCCATTTGGACTTTTATTTCCCGGTCCTGTCTTCTTTTGGCGGGAGGGTTAGTTTGCATGCTGAGGCCTGGTGCTTGTGTCGCTCGCTTACAAGCTACCTCGATTGACCACCATATCACGACATCGCCTCGCAGTGTCGCCCGTTTCTTACAGAGAATTCATATCTGATCCCGGTGACATCATGTTTTTCTCGCCGACAGCGTTTGTGGCGAAGGTCGCGCTTCTGGGAGGTCTTCTCGTTCAATCAGTCGACGCACAGTATTACAAGATTGGAACAAAGGGTACGATGCCGACGACTGCAGCAGATAGAGGAGGAATACTAACCATGATATAGATGAGATTAAACAGTCGGCACGAACACTTGCATATGATCTTATGTTGCAATATGACGGTAACCAGACTGGCATGATTCCCGGTATCCTGCCCGGTCCCCCAACAGAATACAAGGGCGACTACTACTGGTGGGAAGGCGGAGCAATGATGGGAACATATATCGGTGCGTCGGCATTGACAGCTCATCGAGATGGATTGCAGGCTAATTGGGGACAGATTACTGGAAACTCACCGGCGACGAGAGCTACAACCACGTAGTGATGGAGGGCATGCTTCACCAGACAGGCGATGGCCACGATTACATGCCCAGCAACCACAGTGCATCCCTCGGAAACGACGATCAAGGCTTCTGGGGCATGTCCGCCATGCTCGCAGCAGAGAACAAGTTCCCCAACCCACCCGACGACCAGCCCCAATGGCTCGCCCTCGCACAGGCCGTATGGACGACACAGGCCAAGCCCGAGCGACACGATGACGAGTGCAACGGTGGAATGCGATGGCAGATTCCCTTTACAAACTCTGGATACGATTACAAGAACAGTGCGTTTGTCCCGGGATTGAATAATGAGGAGGAGTAGCTAACTTTTGCAGCCATTGCCAACGGATGCTTCTTCAACATCGGCTCTCGTCTTGCGCGATACACCGGAAATGAAACGTATGCGAAATACGCCGAGGAAACGTGGGAGTGGCTCTGGAACGTCAACTACATCGATCACGAAAAGTGGCTCGTCTACGATGGCGGACATGTCGGAAAGAACTGTACCGACATAAACAAGGCCACCTTCTCCTACAACGCCGCCATTCTCATCCAAGGCGCTGCCTTTATGTACAACTTTGTAAGTCCACTCACCTCTGCACCTAAGCACATCCACTCACAATCGTAGACCAACGGTTCCACCGTATGGGAGGACCGCATCGACAAGCTCCTCGACGCCACGCTCAAGAACTTCTTCCCCAAGGACATCATGTACGAAGTTCCCTGCGAGGGCCGCAAGGGCGCCTGCTCAACCGACATGTTGTCTTTCAAGGGCTACGTGCACCGCTGGCTCGCCGTAACAACACAAGTCGCGCCCTTCACTGCAGAGCGCATCCTCCCCGTGCTGCAGACATCCACCGAAGCGGCCGTCAAGCAATGCACGGGCGGAGATTCCGGTCGCAAATGCGGGTTCTACTGGAGTGGCGGCGAATTCGTGGACCCTGCTGTTGACGAGACGAGCGGTGCAGGCGAGCAGATGAACGTGCTGGCTGCGGTGTCGAGTCTACTGATTGGCGATGCGGAACCGCCTGCGACGAATAGTACGGGTGGTATTTCCAAGGGCGATCCCAAGGCCGGCGAGGATTCGCATGATAATCCGGAGCCGGAACCCATCACGACGGCGGATCGGGCGGGAGCGGGTATCCTGACATTCCTGGTGCTGGCGAGTGCGGTTGGAACGTTTGGATGGATGTGCTTTGACTGAGCGTTTTTGGGTCTGGCGTTGGTTGTAAAACATATATAAGAAACTCGACTGGCGAGCGAGGAATATTTTTTTGTGTGTCGTTTTGTTCTTTTGTTGGAGAATGGAGTTGGCTTTGTCCCACTAGGATTGAAGGGATTGTTAAGACCTTGATGGGAGATACCCAATGAAAGGCAGCATTCTGATAGATTTGTTCAAATACAGATGCTTGATAAGTTAGTTACTCTCATTTTTGCGCTTGTCTTGACGTATGGACCGGTTACGTGTCCCATAAAAACGCGATAATGCTCTGATGTTGCCTTTAAGCTTTCGCTGAGCCAACGAGGTCAGTATGACAAGGCTGCATTCAATGGAAGCTGCTGGAGACTTGTGGCTGAGAGCTTCTATCGCCACAGAGAACTGGCTGACTCATCATAAGTTTTGGGGCTGCCGCCATGTTTAGTTCAACTTCGCAGCCTTTCGCCTCTGGACCAGATTTATCAACCTTGATCACCTCAATCAGGCACGCAGCGCATTAATTCCTGGTACTCAACAGCAAAAGCCGCCTTTCTATCGATATCCTCCGATCGAAGCGACGCGACGCCATGGCTGAAACACCCACCACTGAAACAGCGATGCCTGCCCCCATCGCTTTCAAGCAAAGGAGCCGACGGGCCAAGGACAGCGTGAGAAAGCGACCTGCTAGCTCCTTGCCATCGCATGGCGACTCTCAAGATTCCTCTTCCTCAGACGACGAACGCGATGCTGTAGACGGACCTCGGATCAAGCGCAACAAGAAGGGAGCCATCTCAGCTTCATCGACGAGTCAACGGAACCCCGATCAAGATCACGCCCCTACAGCCTTCCGCGCGAATCGTGAAGTGCCAATATCAGACACAAACGATGCCACAAAGCGGAAGGACTGGTATGATCAGCCGACGACCAAGGGCCCCGCTCGTGCCGCCTCCAATGTGCGCATCACAACAACCTTCGACTTCAAGCCCGACATCTGCAAAGACTACAACAAGACCGGTTGTGGTGTGGCTTTGGCGATTCTTGCGTGTTCTTACACTCGAGAGAAGACGTTAAGCAAGGGTGGCAGCTTGATAAGGAATGGGAAGAAGTGGGAAAGAGCAAGAAGAAGGTCAGTGGTGATCGCGAAACAGCAGATGCTGTCGAGGGTGGGGCAGACATGGAAATGCTGAGCAAGATCCCTTTTGCATGCATCATCTGCGAGAAGCCTTACAAGAACCCTGTCGTCACTCGATGTGGCCATTATTTCTGCGAGGCATGTGCCCTCCAGAGGTACAGGAAGGGTCCAACATGTAAGAACTGCGGAGCTGCGACCATGGGAGTTTTCAACACAGCGTCGAAATTGGAGAAGCTGCTGCGGCGGAAGAGAGAGAATCAAGAGAAGCTGGATGGGAAAGCACGAGAACTAGACGATAAGGGGGCATGAAGAGTATAACTGGTTAACTTTGATGAACAAACGGTATTGCTGCGCGCGATGGACGATTGTCCCGGACCACTGTACTGGCCATGAATGCATGGAACAAGTCTTCAGCTTCAACAGTCTGCGGGTCTTGCAGATAGTCACAGATGGCTTCTGCGCGCTGTAACAAGACTGCAAAAGAGCCGAACCTAACTTGCGACGTTCAAAACCGTGAGAAGCAACATACGCCTCGAGGATGTCCTTGGACATGTTGCTCACGTCAGAGCGGGCTCTGGTCGGTGTTAAACAAACCTGCACAGTCGAAGCATCGGAAAGGCAGAGACACATCCATCGGCATACAGGTGGCTATCTAACCTACCGTCTTCGCAATGGGCAGTTTGCCCGGTGCTAACTCAAATGTTGAATACTGACGATTAGCAGAAGCCGAGCACATCAATGTGATGAAGCCACCTTTGTCACGATTGACGGGAAAGCGCTCCAAGGCTCAGGTGGCTGGGTCATTGTAATCAAGGGGCCGATTCTCAGCCTTTCAGCCTTGTTCAAATTCATCAATCATCAGCCTTGACTTTAACTCAAATAATCACGCAAACACTTCCCTCTTTTTATGAACTAGAAGCGAAATGACTTTATCTTGCAATTATAGTTAGTACAGTAATTACGGAGCTCAACAAGGGGAATCGATAAAGCACCCAGTGAGCCTAACAGCAAAACCCACCAAGTACCTTATATATCCTCATCTTGAAGTGATAAAAGCGACACATCAGACTGCCAGTAGTACAAGAAGTTAGGGCTCCAGGTCAAAACAACGCCGACCGCGCCCGCAACTGAAGACAACTGCCCAACAAACTCCTAAGCCGACCGATCGACTTCTCACGAGATATCGGCAAAGGCTACAAAAACTCAGAATGATATGGTTGCAAGAACGAGTAGTTGGTAGGAAGCAGGGATAGCAGCTCAATAGAGACTGGAAAATTTACGGTTACTGGGAACTCGGAGGTAAAAATGCTCAAGTTCTGGAGGAAGATGTTCTGCCTTCATGTTGGATGTGCGAGAAGGATTAAAGAATTCAATTATTAAAGAGTGATATAATCATCTCTGTGAGAAAAGAGCCTTGCAAAATCCGAGAAAGGGGCCGAGTTGAAGATTTGTGATAATGCGACTATAAGGTTCTGCAACAAGCTGTCGAAAGCAAGAGTAAGCAAAAAGAAGGTGAATGAATAGCAACAGAACTTAGATTAAGGGGCGAAGAAGAATTTCCGAGGACCACAAAGGCTAGTACGGACGAAAGGGCTTGAATATTTGGAATGCCAGGACGAAATGCTTTTTATCTCTAACCTCCCAGATAAAGCTAAAAAGTAAAAAGGATTCTCTAACACTCTGCCAAACCCTTTTGATGAACTTGCTCTGAAGATTAACGGATTTAATGCAATACATACAGTCTATGTCGCTGGATGGAAGGATCAGGTTGTTAGAAAGCTGGATCTACTCTCGGCACTACATGTAGGACCTACGAGCAGAGAAGTCGATTCTAAACAGGAGCCAGAAAAGTAATGTTAACAGACTAGTGAGCATAATAAATCGCCAAAAGAATGGGAAACCTCTCTTTTTGGACCATAATGCATTTGTTGAGCTCCATCAGCGGGCATTGGAGTGTTTGGAAACTGTCACGCCAACAGTCCGAAACCCCTCTCACTTAATGGTGATATCAAAGTACCTGTTACTTCTGAAATAGCATAGAAAGATGGCTCACGTCCTAACAAATGGGTTGGATAATATGCACGGCCAAAAAGAAATTGAACTCTCATGTTTACAAAACATATCATGATAAACAACTCAATGAGCACTCTTTAGCTGTGGCGTTTACTCACGTCATTTCAGTAGCAACATTAGTCTTTAGAGCACTTTTAGCAGTCGAACTATCGTTGTCCTGCTCGGCCTTCCCGTCGTCCCAGCCACTCCCTCAAAACCAAGCCAATCATCTATCTGGATGGCACTCAAACGAAGCCACGCGTGAGTTGCCGCATCATAACAACATGGAAGTTCCCGAATGCCAAAGACACCAAAACCACGCAGTTCCCCTACAACAGACTGAGGCTTTTTCCCCCTTTGTTCATTTCATTTGGTCGGCAAGTTCAGTATCCCGCAAGATAGATCTAAGCCACTAGGTCAAAAATCGTGTTATATTAGGTTTTTATCATGGCATCTACAGCAGACAACGTCTACGAGTTCTACCGGCCCTCGAGAGCATTGGCGCTTGTCGGTTGTGTAGTCTTTTCAGTTCTTAGTCTTGCTCACTTATGGAACATCTTTAAGGATCGAAGATGGTTCTGTTTCAGTCTTGTCTTCGGAGGACTCTGTACGTCCCAGCTCACCCAGATACTATGGACCGTTGTTCTGACACTTATCAAATAGTTGAAATCGCGGGTCTTGGCGCGAGGTTTTACTCAGCCGGCCATCTACGAGACCAAGAATCTTACGGCACGCAAACACTCCTTATTCTCCTGGCGCCCATCTTCTTCTCCGCAGCGATTTACATGCTCCTCGGCCGAGTAAACAGAGCCTCCGGACATCCCGACCTTTCTATCATTCGAACAGCATGGCTTTCAAAATTCTTTGTGGTATCCGATGTCTTGTGCTTCGTCATTCAAGCTTGTGGTGCTGGAATGCTTGTCAACGCTAATAATACAGCTGATCAGAACAGTGGAGAGAACGTAATTCTTGCTGGACTGGCGCTTCAAGTTGTCGTATTGGTCATCTTCCTTATTTGTACGGGAGTATTCCATGCGCGACTTGCAAAAGGAGGACTCATTGGGGCGATCAATCCCTACCTCTTGTTGGGTACAATGCTCAGTGAGCTATATATCTGTGCGATACTGATTCTATTCCGAAATGTTTTCCGCCTGGTTGAATTTGGACTTGGGGACGATGGATACTTACAGGCACATGAATGGCCGATTTACGTTTTTGATATTATCTTCATGGCTATCGTTATGGCGTTGGGATTGAGTTGGTACCCAGCCGATTTGCAGGTTCATCATGATCCTTATAGACAACGACCAATGACCAGCACGGCTTAGATCAATTTGATARAGAGGACAGTATGACAGAAGAAAGAGTCTTGTCAATTTGTATTTCAGCTTGCTACCTGTTGGAGGAATTACGCATTGAATAGTGTTTTAGGGAGACAATTGAAGCTTGATTGATAGTTGTCGAATATGGGATATGCTACCGATGCTTTAGATTGATACACGAACCAATAGATCTCGAGATATTCTGGCGTCCTTCTTGTCAGCAGCTGCTACTGCATGTCCAAGGATATCCCGGTCATCGGGGATAGCACCAAGAAATAGAGTTTGCCCACGACAGCCCCAACCAAGCACGGAGAAATTCTCGCGTTTCGGTGTAATGCCCACAACATCATAATCCCAAACTCTAATAACCGCTCGTAATATCCCCTTGACTCAAGCACGACTGTCTAATGCTACTGTACACATTGCCTCACAGATCCATTTCCATCCCGGAAACTCATCGACAAGAGAAACGATAGTCGCACAAACTTGACAGCGGGTGGCTTTAGCACCGTCGAACCCTACGCAAACAGGTGGGGGAGAAGATCAGCGACACCAACTCTTGAGCTAGTCAGGGGTGAACACAGAAAATCAGACGGTTCCCCACGTTCTCCAGACGTTGGGATGCCAAGATATGGGGGCACTGACGTCGAAAAAACGACGACGTTTTCCAATTTCGCTGTAACGTTCTCAATGATGATTTGGAGTTACATTGGAGATAGAGTACCGAAGCCAAGGGCTCGGCGATAACACTTTAGCATCGGAGAAAACAGGTAAAATCGGAAATTGATCGTGCTCTATGCTTATGCTTGGGGTTATATCGCCTTCTAATATTGATACATCTAAATAATCGCTCACTTTGCCTCCCTTATGCGACTCTACCAACTTCACCAAAATGACTCCTCTACTCCAAACAAACAAACACCGTGGTATACATAGCATAACTTAGTCATCGTGGTGCTCAATCTCATCAGCGACTAAGCTCAGGATGTTCTCCTCCCCTGGTACATTCTGTGGGAAGCGAGCGTTGTAGCCGATGACAGATCGGGCTTTCAAATAAGTTCGCGTAGGAATAGACACCTTCCTAGTGGAGACGAACCACTTGACATCCTCACTACAGGGCGGTGTAGTAAGCGAGCCTGAGTATCTAAGACAACAAAAACCGTCAGCGGGCATTACTTATTTCTTGGCAAGCTTAGTAGAACTTACGATCGGAAATCACCCTCGTTGAGGACCGATACAATCTCGGACATTTTGAGAGACTTGATGTGAGTGGTTTGTCCCAGGGTCGCAATCTTATCCACCGAGTTGAGAACGGTGGTAACGACAGTGGATTTCGTAGCAGGGGTGTCTGTCTTGCCCTTGCGCGTCTCCCTGGATTTATACGAATCGGCCGCTCCATCGTCGAGATCGATGAATACACCGATGACGGCGAGTTTTTTGTCTTCGCTGGCGTGAACCATGTGCATCTCCATGGCTAGACTGGTACCGTTGTCGATGTGCTCGCTGGGGAGATGAAAGTGGAATTGCTTCAGGTGGTATGTCGTGTTTTCGATGGTGATTTTACCACCGAGTCCTTCGGTAACTACTTCGACGGTACTTCCCAAGTTCTCGAACTCAGCACCCTTGGTGAAGTTGGGGATCTCGATGTCTAGGTCTGAGGCGGGGATGATGTTGAATGAACCATCGGCGAGGTTGATGGGCGACTGGTGGTGACCGGTGGCGCATAGTTCGTTGGCCTTCGGGTCCAAGTTGTACCAGTTTGCTGGGCCCTATTGTATAAAGTCAGTGACCTGTACATAGATCTCGAAAGCCCTCGGTATATAAGAGAGACTTCAGATGAAGTTGAAGGGGATTGGGTGGCGTACGTTGGCAGCGGAGTATCCAAACTTGGGAGCATGAATAACATCAGCTCTCTGATGAAGATGCGTTCCATAC